CCCTCAGAATTGTTCAAAGTGTCATGATTTGAGGAAGAATCAATGTCCAAAGAATTGCTATCTTGCAAGGTCTTGAAAGGTGCATCCTGCTGAACGGCTTCCAATAATGCATCAAAGGAATCGCAAATGATACTCCAATCAAGTTTCCAAGCGGAAAGTATAGCTTCAAAGGGATTGAGATAATTCCATTCAGATTGAATTGAATGTTGCCAGTGGGAAAACCTGTAAATGTCAAAATCTGTGAGCTGATACCGGCTTGCTGCATGCATCACTGGCTTGGATGCATAGGCCTCAACCAGATCAACTGCGGACCAGGCGTCATGCACGTCATGGCTATGCACTAACGAGACACCGCCGTTTCTCAGTCCTTGGCATTCCCCCCACCAGGTCCAGAGCCACCAAACGGTTGCATAGAGCGCGGTCGCTTTTTGTCGGGTTCGGCTTCGTCCATAGTGAGATCTTCTGCATCCGAGGTCTGTGGAAGGATCTCGACCTTGAGGGCAGCGGCACAATTTTGCAAAACCGTTTGCAAGTGGCCTTGCAGCTTTTCCTCCTCTGGGTCTGCTTCTCCCGTGCCCTCCTCCTGTTCCACAGGAATTCGCGCAATGGTCGGAATTGTTTCCAGCTGTGCCGGGGATGCTGTTGATGATAGATTCTGGATGGCAGCTCTTGCTGTTTCGATGTCGGCTTTGGCCTTGAATGCGACTTCTTGGAAGGCAGCTTGCTGCTTCTGGTAATCCTGCAGCTGTTGCTGCCAACTTGTAGCCGCTTCTGTGATGTGTTTGATCCATCTTGCTCGATGGGACTTCTTCGCATCCAATGTCTCCTGAAGAGTTTTCTGTGCTTTCCCTAGGGACTTGGTAGCGGAGTGTATGTTTTTGGTGACAAACTTGTTGTTCTCCTTCTCTAGTTTGTCGATGTCTTTTTCGATCTTGTCGATCAATTCCTTGGTGTCGGCTGGGATGTTGTTCCCATCTGGATATGCATTGCGGAGGGCAGTCAGGCACTCTTTCTTCTGAGCCAGAAGGTCGACAGTGCTTGGGTTTGTTGCCGTGTTGGCATACGTCGGGGGCCCTGTTGCAGCTCCCTCTCCTGATGGCCATGGAGGCAATTCTGCGACCAGCGGAGCGAAAGGTGACGTACTGAGACTTCCTGTCCCTTTCTGATCGTTCCCGCCTTTGCCTTTGGTCTTGTTCTTGCTCTTGTTTTTCCCCGATCCTTTGCCTTTTCTTCCACGAGGACTCTGGGATCGGCTTTGCGAGCGGCTTTGGGCTCGGCTTTGTGACCCCTCTACTGGCATCTGCCAGTTCCACGACTGATCTGTTTCGTCCCACTCCTCCCACTGATTCCAGCTGTAATTCTGATCTGAAGGCCATGCATCTCGATACGCCGTGGCCTTGTATGCCTGCTGTTTTGGTGCAGTACTGTGTCTTTGTCCAGAAGTCCAATGCGCATGGCAAATCGCGCATTGGGTTGCAACTTTCTTGTTGATGCGCTGGCAGTGAGAGCACTTCCAAGGGAAGAGATCTGACTGGTCCATGTTGATGTGCTTCTGAATTGTCTGAATAAAATTTGAATCTCTGCTGTGATGCTTTGCAAGTAACCTCTTGATGCGCAGAAGTGCCAGCCGGTCCAAAGGTACCTTTCCAGTACGATGTTGAAACCAGGCTGCTCTGGCAGCAGCGCGCTGGCGGCGCTGCCTCCTCTTCTGTGTACCACTGAGTAGTGTAATCTTGCAAATTCACGAAAATGACAACAAAGATCAACAGAACAAGTAGCACGGAGCACATAAATGAATTGTGTTGCCCAAATGAAAGTGACACCAGGGAAATTCCAGTTCAGTGTCCAATCCAGGGAGTACAATAAGATGAATAAGTCGAGCAACGGAACCTCCTCACAGTACAGTTCCAATAAATCAAATTGTAAAAGCAAACAAGGTGTTCGGCACACCCTTATAAGCCAGTAGGACAATGTTTGATGGGGACGAAATGCCTGTGCAAAAAGTACAGTGCAATCGAGGCCCAAACAAAAATTGTAAGCCTGATGTTCGGTACACCGGCAAACCCAGAAAGAAAATTTGTTGTATCAGATGTTTGGCACACCTGCAGAAGCCCAGCAAAAATAATCCACAAAGGATAGGGTGAGGACAAAGTCGAACTCACCTGTAGCACCCAGTTGCGAAAGTAGAATTGCAGTGTTGTTTAGACAGGGTTTTCAAGGTTGACCCTAAACCTCCAGGTCCGGTTAAACAGCGAAGAAACCAGATGCCCGTGGAGCAATTAAATGCCCACTAAGGTTATGGCTAGACAACCGCCCGACAAAAGAAACGCACAGCGAATGCGACAGGGGGAAGTCTGAGCCAAGACCTTCGTATGTATACTATATATATAATATATATATAATATATATATAATATATATAATATATATATATATATATTATATATACAATATATGATGTGAGTATGAATGTTTTTTGATTTTTTTTCATAGTAATAGTAATATTTCCATGTAATCCCTTCCTCCTAATACTAAACCCCCCCCCCCTAATACAAAACACGGCAGGTAGTTTTTAGTATTAGGGGGGTATTTATTATTAGGGAACCAAATCGAAGTCATGTTAATTAATTAATTAAATTTCCTTATATAACGCAATTAAAATATTGCCAAAAATGGCAGTTCGAAGCTTACCCTTAATACTAAAAACTATTTTTTCCGATCTCAAAATCAATTAAATTTCCTTATATAACGCAATTAAAATATTGCCAAAAATGGCAGTTCGAAGCTTAACCCTAATACTAAATTAAAACCCTTAATACTAAAAACTATTTTTTCCGATCTCAAAATCAATTAAATTTCCTTATATAACGCAATTAAAATATTGCCAAAATGGCAGTTCGAAGCTTACCCCTAATACTAAATTAAAACCCTTAATACTAAAAACTATTTTTTCCGATCTCAAAATCAATTAAATTTCCTTATATAACGCAATTAAAATATTGCAAAAAATGGCAGTTCGAAGCTTACCCCTAATACTAAATTAAAACCCTTAATACTAAAAACTATTTTTTCCGATCTCAAAATCAATTAAATTTCCTTATATAACGCAATTAAAATATTGCCAAAAATGGCAGTTCGAAGCTTACCCCTAATACTAAATTAAAACCCTTAATACTAAAAACTATTTTTCCGATCTCAAAATCAATTAAATTTCCTTATATAACGCAATTAAAATATTGCCAAAAATGGCAATTCGAAGCTTACCCCTAATACTAAATTAAAACCCTTAATACTAAAAACTATTTTTTCCGATCTCAAAATCAATTAAATTTCCTTATATAACGCAATTAAAATATTGCCAAAAATGGCAGTTCGAAGCTTACCCCTAATTGCTAGAGTAGCCAGGCAGCTTGGAGTGAGGGATTGGGACTAGGCCCCCCTAATACTAAACACCCCGGGGTGAACTAGTTTTTAGTATTAGGGGGGAGAACCCACAAATGGTAGGTTGATTTTAAATTGTTTTTTAAAGGGGATCAATTAAAAGTCAAATTGGCCAAACTGAAATTTTCGGAAATTGGAGATGGATGCCTGTTTTTAGTATTAGGGGGACGTTTAGTATTAGGAGGAAGGGATTATTTGGAGTTTATAGTTTATATTATATACCATGAACATCCATTACCATCATGTACTGACGTACGTGTACCATCATGTACTAATGTACAGCGTATTTTTCAAAGTCATATCATTCATTAATCAAGAAGATCTAAAGGTGGGAACTGGAGTGAGGGTACAATTAATTTGGGAATAGACTTGGGTCTGGCTGGGAGGGGGGGGGAGAACATCAATAGACAGTTGCCCCAGTAATTGACCAGTAAATGATTGTCCCCAGAAAGGCACTGTCAGTGATGTTTATATATCACCATGAGAAAGGCACTAATCATCGTAAATGATCACTCAATGATGGTCCATATCACTGTTAGTGATGATTACCATCTGGTAAACTAACATAGCTATTGAAAATGGCCATTTATAGTGGATTTACCCATTAAAAATCTCACTGTTAGTGATGATAAATGATCATTCAATGGTTGTCTCGGAAATTTCTCAACAGATTTTGGTGACCTTGGTGAACACAAAAAAACAGCTGGCCGCATCAACGGACGGTCCCACATATGCTTCCTAAAATGGAGCTACCCCGAGTTATCATCCATGTTCCTCGGAGTTTCCCTTATAAACCATTCAAGAAAACGGGGATCCCTCATTAATCATCATTAATCATTACTAATCATCACTGCTCATCACCATTATTCATCATTATTGATAATTATTAGCCATTGCTAATCATGGTTCAACCATTAACCATTAAGCATCATTCATCATCATTGATCATTATTAATCATGATTAATAATCATTAATCATCAATTAATCGTCATTAATCATCATTAAGCATCATTGATCCTCCTTAATCCTCCATTATCCTCCTTAATCATCATTAATCATCATTAATCATCATGAATCGTAATGACTCATCATTAATCCTCCTTAATCCTCCTTAGTCCTCCTTAATCATCCTTAATCATCCTTAATAATCATAAATCATAATTAACCATTCTTAATAATTATTAATCATTATTAATCATTGATAATCATTATTAATCATCAATAATCATTAATCATCATTAATCATGATTAATCATCATTAGTCATTGATAATCATTAATAATCATTAATAACCATTAATCATCACTAACCATCATCAATCATCATTAATCATGATTAATCATCATTAATCATCGTTCATCATCATTAATCGTCATGAATCATCATTAATCATCCTTAATGATCCTTAATAATCATAAATCATCATTAATCATTATTAATCATTATTAATCATGGATAATCATTAATAATCACAATTCATTATTAATCATCATGAATCATCATTAATCATCCTTAATCAATCATTATTATGTATGTCACTCTCCACAGTTTGTTCTCAGGTCGCAGGGTGACCGAAGAACGTCAAGCCGCAGAGGTCCGGTCAGTGACAGCAGAGATGTGAAGCAAATGCCCTGGGGTCTGGTGGGGATATTCATGGTAATAACCAACTATAATTAATCAACTATAGGGTTTATAACATCTTATAACTATTATTAAGTATAATAACCATTTTTAAGGTTTATAACTCATCAACTATTATTCATGGGATCCTCCAAAAAAATAGTAAAACCTCATTTTAAAAGTTTCCTCCAGGATGTTTTCAATCCCTTGCGCAGACCATGGTTTCATGGTTTCTGGGGGCTGCTGATTGATTTTGGACCTCGCCCACTTCTGGTGAAAGTCAATGAGAGAGGGTGACAATTTTAATTGAAACTGAAATATCTGTGCTCTGAACTGACTCAGGATCCTTCGCGTGCCATTTCTTTCTTCATTTTCGCATCAGAAAAACATGTTCATCAATGCGAACAACAGAACCTCATATGTTTGTTTCCACGTTCATTTTCATCCGAAAAGCATCCAACCTCAATCCTACCACTTTCCCAAGCAGTTCCCCAACGAATTTCCATAGCCAACTTCAGACCATTCGGACCATTTCCCATGTCCCAACCGCGCAAGGAACAGGAGCTTCCTTTGCGCGAATGGGTGAAACACATTGAGGATCAGGTGGTTTTTGTCCGGAGCCAGGTGGATGATTTTCCAAATTGGTTATAACAGTTATATGATTTGTGGAACATTTGTGGAACCAGTAGATGAATAGTGGCTGAAATTTTGGATGAATAGTGGATGAAGAAGAATGAATAAATACTTGATGAACGAAAATGACTTAAATAATGGCTGATCAAATAGATGAAACAGTGGATGAATAGTTGATGAACATATATCACCACGTTTTATTTATCCATGAAATTGGAGCCACTATTGATTTGTGGATAAACCCAGTGGATGAATAGTTGATAAAACACAATTGGATGGATAATGGATGAATACTAGTGGATAAATAGTTGATAACATATTTCCAGCTATGGAACATAAAGTTGTGGATGAATAGAGGATAACAATTCTTTTGTGAATGTTCCAAAGTTTTAGTCCGGATTAACAAATCAACTGACTCAACTTGAGTAACACTAAAACACATCCAACAGTCATGGACCAACTTAATAATTATCATCGCTTGATTTTTTATGGATCTGTCTGAAATGGGCATGAGGAATACCCCCCAAATGGTCATGAAACAACAGGGAAAATTATACCTCAAAGTCTCAAAGTACATTTTTTGGATAATGTTTCATATGGGATATATCAAATCTTAGTATTAAATCTGTTTAAACAGACCACATTTTTCCAATTCAAATCATGGCTGCCTGGCTACGTCGTGGCTACGTCGCCATGATCATGGGACTGAGCAATGCTACCCTCTGGTAAACTGCTCCATAACTGTGGAAAAACATCATGCTATTCAGCCACTCCCAGAGAAGGGACAGTCTGCTCGAGCGCCAAGAAATTTGGGCCTCTAAAAGGCCAAAATTTCCCGTAACTTTCCCATACACCCAGGGTTTCCCCCGAAAGTCTGGCTTTCCCACGACCCCAATGGCATCTCCCATCGAAAAATCCCATGGTTTTTTCCATGTCTTTAAAGCATTTCATTCCATTGATTCTACCTGCAAGGTGACCCAGCTAGCAATTGGTTTATACACATCATTATATAATTCTAGGCAACCAATCTCCAACCAATCGATCAGCACTGAAAACTCTTGGGCACCTGGATTAATCCCATTAATCCCATTTTAAGCAACTGTCCATGTGGTGTTTTGAAAAATGGTATACTGGGATTAACCCCATATTATTTCCGTTGATTAAGCCATATATAAATGTATATAAATGGCACTAACTAGATTTATGCACATCATCATGCGTTTAACCCATGTGTTTATCCCAGAATCTCCAATGTTTCAAAAATGTGTCCATATTTTTTCCCCTTTATCCCATCAAAACGACACCAAAACACGATTTAATAAATGGAAAAATACATGGTGAATTCACCTCATCCCCACTTAACCTATCTTGCCCCTCAGGTCACCACTGCACGCTTGGAAAATGCCCGGCTCTCCTCGTCCCTATCCTCGGCGCTGGCCTTTCGCGCCTCGCTGCTGCCGGATGAAGGGCACACCCCAGCGGGAGCTGAGACGGGGGCGCATATCCAGCAGCTGGGAGAACAATGGGGATGGCAATTTGGGGATTGTAGGGATGGAAGTGGATTTTTCTGTTCATCCATTCATAGATGGATGTTCTTTTTTTTTGAACCAACCATTTTTGGATACCTCCATTGATATCAGAGCATGAGTTTCTCAGAGAGTAGAAGTGGATTTCAGATGATTTAAGTTGAGGATTTCAGCAGCAAAAACATGGGAAAACATGATGAAGATTGGGGGAATTGAAGATAAAAGTGCATGGGGAGGGTATGGTGTTTCAAGTTTGAAGACCCTGCAAATGGAAGACAAACCAAGTTTGGACCACAGAATACTGGGAAATTCATCCAATCACATTGAAAAAGGCAAACATTTCAGGCTTCCTTCTATCCCCTCCAAGAGAATGATTTCGGAGCTTCTATCGATATACAGTAAGTGTTTCTATGGTTTTGCTGCCCAAGACCAACAAAATGTTCATCGCTATTGGAGGAAACAACTTCCTTGCCATTGAGTATATACTTCGGGCTGTCCAACTATTTTAGGCCATGCACCCGAAATGTTTCTGCTTGGTTGTTCCGAACCAGGCAAGTGTGTTGGCTGCGTGAACATCAACGTCAATGCACGTCTCGAAAAGAGAAGTTGAAGGTTGGAGCGGTAGGGATTTCAGTTGCTATGAGGGACAGGAGCAACACTCTTGTTACTTACTGACCCACAATAAAGACTATGGATATGCATTGGTTTCTAGGGAGTAGACCAAAAAGAACCCTTCCAAGAAGTTCTAAGAGGGGGATTCAGCTTATCAGCAATATTGTGAACGCGCCATTGTGGGGATTTAAGGATGGCGCCTCTCTTGTTTCATCAGCCCTTACAAGTGAGTTTCGTTGTAAAATCCTGCCATATCCCAGAAAAACTGACTCATTGCTGAATGTTTGCAGTTCTAATAGCAGTAATATCCATGATGTGTATTTAATTTCCCATATCACATATCACATATCAATTAGACATAAGTCTCCAAACCCTGAAATACTTGTAAAATTGGAGCGTTCTCGCTTCATATCCTCCGCGTCCATAACCTCAATGTGTTTACCCTCCAATGTTGGTATGAAATATCCTAAACCCAAGAAAGTATAAGAAAGTTGGCATATTGATCATGAATGGTCCATTTTTCCATTTTTCAGGGACTTTTCACAGCCCATTTCTGCCAGGAGGAAATCGCGGCCGAAGAACGTCGTCGCGACTCCTTCCTCCGCGATGCCGGGCGCAGCGCCGTTTTCCGGCGATCGCCGGCGGCATCACCGGACAGGTGGGGAGATGAAGGTTTTCCGGTGTCCAAACAGAAGCGAATGGGTTTTTCATGGTGGAATATGGGTATGGATCAATACCTATCAATACCATTTTTAGGGGAATGAACATCCATAAATCCCAGTTATTTTGATGTGAACTACAGGGGTACAAGGTTTTGACACACTGCCATATCACAGACAGTTTTTCAGGATTTGGCTTTTCATTATCATGGTTTGTCTGAAAATGGAGTATAATTAATTACCCCCAAATCTATTCCCGCGCCATTGACAATTGAAAAAAATCGGACCAGACCTTAAAATGGAGTTTAAATGAGATCAGTTGAAAAAGTGCGGAGGGGGAAAACATGGAGGATGACACCAACGAAATTGGGAAGTATGGACAATTATGGAGGACAATAGAGAACCAACATAATATTTGTGTAGTCATGTGGTGATTATTATATTCAGAACTGTTTATTGGTTGTGCTCAAGTCTGGCTAACATCCCACTTACAAGCTCACAATGGTTCCACATGGTATAGTGAACACACTTTGTGTCACAAAGTATCATCCGGCAGAAATTCTACGGAAAACCAACTAAAGCTGGTTGGTGGTTTCAAACATGTTTTATTTTCCATAATATATGGGATAGTCCTTTCCATTGACTTTCATATTTTTCAGAGGAGTTAAAACCACCAACCAGAAAGTGATTTGGTCTCCTACCACCATGATCCAGCATACTTGAGCGCCGTCAGGTCATATCTCACTTCATCGCTGCGAAGCTTGCCCCCCACGCCGTTCGAAAAGTTTCACTCGCTGGGAGCCGCCCCAAAGGACCCAAAGGACCCAAAGGACCAGGGCCACCAGGGTTTGGGCGAAGAGAGCGAAGATGAGGACCATGACTATTGGAAGAGCGATTGGCACGAAAGTGGGATGCCAAAAAAGCGGGAGCCGCGCTGCTTCTGCTGATCCCACTTGGATGATTCAAGTTGTGTCCTTGCATGTAGCAGCTACGGAAGAAGCGTGGCAAAATCCACATTATATCACACTATATATATAACATATAAGTAAAGTTGTAAGCCGCGCCAAGTTACCTTAATCATTTTGTCATATCCTTCAAGATCATCCCATTTCTAGAAATTATCACATTTCCAGATTTAGTATGATGTACCCTCTGGTAATTTAACATAGCTATTGAAAATGGCCATTTATAGTGGATTTACCCATTAAAAATGGTGATTTTCCATAGTTATGTTAGTTTACCAGAGGGTAAGCCATCTAGGAATCACGCTAACCTTTTCATGACGCGTCCGGCCAGGGAATTCCTTGGCCTTGCTCTTCGGTGGCATGCCCGGCCTGAAGCAATGCTGGGATCCGGTACCCCTGAAGGCCTGGGAGATGTTGCGAAAAAGGCAGCCAAAATGTGGATTTCACCAACAACAATGGGGATATGATGGGGATATGATGAAGATATTGAATGTGGAGTATGCTCTGGATATGTCTGGATAAGTTATAATGACCTCACGGCGATGTCACACCGTCAATCATCGTTTGGATTGGAGGAATCATTCCTAAATGACCTTATTTCAGATATTTCAGTCTGGCTTAAAGCATTGTGACTCAGCCTGAATAATCACAGCAATGATGATGGGCCAATGAACAAGACTGATTGGATAAGATGACAAATATAGTATAGTGATGATAATCTGCCAATGATCATAGCAAATGACTGGTTAAGATGACAATTGCCATGATAATCTGCCAATGATCATCATAGCAGCTATGTCGCAAATAATGGTTAACCATCATTAACATGATCATTAACCATCATTAACCATTAATCATCATTAACCATTAATCATCTGCAAATGGATGCCAACATACACCCAACGAATACTGCCGATGATCGCTGGCACCGGAGCCCCGGATTCTTAGAGGAAACCCCAAAAAGGGATCCGTCCCTCGAGGTCTTTAGCGCCATTGCCGTGGTCTACGCCTTCGGCGACTGACTTAGACCCATTCTGAAGTGATTTCAGGCGTAGATATGTGACCATTCCAACATGGATTTTTTTGGATCTCATATGTCTGTAGTATTCATATGGTCAGATGGTTTCATATGATTGGCCCCATCGGATGGATTTGACTGTTTTGACTGATGAAAAAGAAACATGTTTTTAGATCTTTAAATCGGAGAAATACTTCGGATGGGCGCAGTTGAACCAGCTACCGGTGGAAAGTTGGTTGGGCAGATGACGGGAGATATCCTTTCGCAAAGTCGCCTAAAGAGAAAGCACATTCTCCATGTAAAACATCTTACTTCTCGGACCATCAAACGTGCATTTGTTTCATCATAATTATTAGACGGCTTTCATTTGCCGTTTTTTTTCAACTTTCAGATTCATTTCCTCATATATTTATAATCATCCTCAAGTAGATAGAATGTGGAATTTTCAAACATATTCCGTTTTAGTGAGGATTGTTCGAAAATTCCATATTCTATCTACTCCAGGATGACTATATATTTACCCTCTGGTTATTTAACATAGCCATGGGAAATGGCCCATAGAATTTTCTATGGCTTACCTATCAAAAATGGGTGGATCTTTCCATGGCAAACTGTTTGTCATAACCAGAGGGTATATTTTAAAACCAAACCATGGTTATAGCAATGGATTGGTTTCAGGGACAATTTACAGGAAAGCCCCATATTTAATGGGAAAATCTATGGTTTCCTGCAGATTTTCCCAAGAAAACCAATCCATTGATTATAGCATGGCCAATTCCTGATTTTGCCATCGCTGCCAAGGCGATTTTCTGGAGATGCAGTCCATGGCAGTCATGGGCGGCGCCGCGTGAGCCGGGGGATGTTCCATGGCTTTTTTCCATGGCCCATTTCTAGATGGTTTACCTATTAAAACCTATTAAAACTGATGATTTTCGATATATTTATGTCAGTTTACTGGAGGCTACGTGGGATGTTTTCATGGACTATTCAGGTATATACCTGGGGATATCCCATATATATAGAAAGAAATTGAATGACATCGATTCTTTTTTGTGCTTAGTTAATCGGATATTGATACTATTCACAGATTACAGTACATGATAGGATCCAGATTTGGACAAATCTGAGAAACATTTGGGGAACAAGAATGGACCCAGGAAAAAGAGTTGAATGGATTAATATTTGGCCATTCTTGGATCAGGGTGGGAAAATATGTCAACCAAAAAATATCCATCCAGAAACCATAAATGAGCCAATATTTGGATGGGCAAATTGATATCTTTGGCCATGAAGATTGGTGATGATTCAAAGATTTCGCCATGTTTCAACGACAGAAGTAACCGATATCTTGACCTACTGTAGGCACTTTTGTGTGTTTATGGGGGCGAGGGGACCAGTTATTCCCACGATTTCCTAAAATCCATTGTATGACATAATATATACACATGTACACCTTTTTCTTGGTGGTGGAATACACCTTTCTCGACCAGGTATTCCCAACATGTCCCAACCAAAAGAACATCATATATATATATATAATCATGTTGATGTTTTTGCACTGGCACAGGTACCAGATTTTGCTCCAGAGCAAGCTGCTAGTCACCGCTTTGATCATGTGGGTGATGCGTGGTCAACGCCAAACCACACTGCAGTGGAACGTGCTAGGCGAGCACGTTTGGTTTGAAGACAGGGAAGAAAATCATTGAACAAATTACTCCAAGAACTAGTTTAAGGGAAACACATATTTCCAGAACTGGTCTATAAATCCTTTCATTGTGGGGAACGAAAAACAGGAGTTTCCCGCAGATTTTACAGATCTCCAAGGGCTTGATCAGCTGCAGATACCGTAGCTCATCATAAACCCCAATTATATATTAATATATCATGTTGTATCAAGGTAAAGCAGTAATTAATTAACCAATTAACCCGTGACTCCACTATCCACCACTATATCCACCAGATTCTCATGTCAACCATTCCAAAAACCAAGTTACCCAGCTCAACACCCAGCGCCCTGTTGCGATGGCAGTCACCATCGCACTGGGCATGAGTGCCTTTGTGCTGACCGACGACAGTGGCAATGAGGCGGTGGCTGGGGGGTTCACCATAACTGCTTGGTGCTGACTGGAACATGACTTTTGGGTGAATTAATATATGGTTCATATATGATATTCCCAATATATGATAACTCCAATTTTGGGTGTCCAATGATTTTGACATATGCTGCTTGGTGCTTTGGAACATGACTGGATTATGACTGGAACATTGGTTTAGTCTAGGATAATGATGGTTAATGATGATTAATAATGGTTAATAATCACTGCTTGGTGGTGAATGGAAAAAAACTGGATTATGACTTTCCCATCATATTGGGAATGTCATCATCCCAACTGACGAACTATATTTTTCAGAGGGGGAGGTCAACCACCACCAGTTTTCGTGATGCTCATGTGGATCATGATGAACCGATGGATGCCATGGGTAGCCACCATTCTTGCAGTCAAACCGCTAGCCTTTCAGTGGAAGTTTTCCAAAATTTCTTGCCGGTGATTTTTCAGCATTTTTCCGCCGCGCCTCATTTTTGTTGCTCAAACTTCATCATTTTCGTGGCGACACGGTGGTTTTTCAAGTGCAGCTTTCCATGTCGAAGATGAGGATCTCCCCAACACGAATGCCCTATGGTAAACTCACAGTTTGCGAACTTGAAGATGGTCATTTATAGTGAATTTTCCCATTGATCGCATGGTGACTTTCCATAGTTATGTTAAGTTATGTTATTTTACCAGAGGGTAATGCCAAAGTCATCCAAATTCTGCAACCATAGAAAATGATCATTTATGATCATTTATAGTTGATTTAGCCATTAACATGTGTGATTTTCCAGCAATAGAATGTGGCAAAAAAACATGTCCCCTCCAATCATCGTGCAACTTTTTCTGCACCTCATCTGATCCACAAGTGGACAGACATCACCCACCACCGTATTTGCCATTCCCACTATGGCCATTCCTGTGCCAATAAGTCATCACATCTCATCACCCAGTACATGTAGTACATGCTCACCACTGAAAAAAATAAACATCACTATCCACCATCACATCACTGACTCTGAAAAAGCATCACTGACTAAGTTCACTAAATCCCATACTATAACCATCAAGTATTCCAGCAATTCGATGAACTAGTTCGATATATCTAGCATAAACCATAGAATTAAGCTAGTGTAGTTACCAACTTAGCTATCTAAGTCTATTTAGGGGGCACCACTATAAATATCTGCCGTTCCATCACAGTTCTCCAAAAACATCTCCAGATCTAGCAATTTCATCGATTCATTGTTCCATCAATTCCAGATCCATCATAGTACCAACACCCTACCACTATCTCCAGAAAATAATCAATCATCATTGATCATCTTTTTCAACGGTTCCATCACTTTGACTCTAAAACAGCTCCAAAAAACAAAAACCATCGATCATCAAAGTTTCCATCACTTTTGTTGACGCTCTAATAGACATCTGCAGTAAAATAATCAATCTTTTTCACCCCATCTACCATGTATCCATATATGTTCCATCTTAGTTCCATCCTCAATAAGTCTAAGTCTAAGTCTTAAGTCTAAGTTAAGTCTAAGTGACATCGATCCCTTCATCGATTCATTCGATCCCTTCATCCATTCGCCATGGACACCGAAGAGGTGGCCCGGTTGCGTTTGGAGAAGTCCCTCACCTTGCACCGCGCCAAGATCGAGGTGCTGCGTCAGCTGGAGTTGAAGCTCGATGCGCGGATCACGAGGCTTTCGGAGCTGTCCACGGCGGCGAAGACGCTGATTGAGTCGATGATGACCAACCCCTTCCAACTGGAGGTGCTGGGGTGCTGGGGTGGAAAATGGTGGAAGGACTTGGCTGATCCATCGCATGGATTTAACCACTGGATTTACCCACTGGATGATGATGGCAGCCGTTGGCCTTGGCTGCCTATTAGCTGTGAAGCTAATAGGGCCCAATCGGTTTGCTGGAACACGATCTACTGAAATGATTGCAATTGAGGGATGTAGTTGGTTTGGGATCCAATCCAAGTTTTTGTGGTATGGGAAATGGAGGAAATAGATGGAAATAGGGGGATGCTGGAGACAAAGGGGGAGAATGGGCAGGGGCAAGGTTTTCAAAGGAGCATTGCGATGGCACAAGATCTGCAAGCTGCACTTCTCAGACTAGGGACCTGTGGCACATGAAAAGTGTCCTGTTTCTTGACCGCATCATAACGTCTACTACGTCAACCGTCGGAGTAGAAATGTATGAAATTCTCAAATCTGGAAGGCCCCTACGTACATTGTATTAAATCCATCTACCCCATAGAATTGGCATATTTGTTGTGTGCAAGGTGGAGATCCCGCAGATTCACAGCATTGCTCCAGCCGTGGAGCCCTTGCAGCCCGTGCAACCTGCGCCTACCCTACCGGAACTGGAATCGCAAAGCGACGAGGGAAGGAAGGGATCCAAAAGCCCAGGTGGGACGTGGGAAACCGGTGGGACCCCATGGCCTATAACTGGCCCATAACCAACGTTTGGTGGATTTTGGTGGTGCCGCCGGTCGGAATCTCTAAGTTGGCGTTCAAACATTTCACTATAGATTCACTGTCGGGGTCCATAGTTCGATGGGAAAACCAAGCAACATAGCTAGGGCTCCATATGGCTTTGTTGAAAAAATGGGCTATCGCTGAATCCATTGGTCATCGCTTTCTAATTCAAAATTCTCACAGAAATGATCAGAAATGGATACCATCTGGTTATGACTAACAGTTAGCCATGGAAAATCACCATGCTATTAAGAACGGTAAACCAACTATAAATGGGCAATTTTCCATATAGCCTATATTAAATAACGATAGGGTATATAATGTGGATTAAGATGGGTCAATAGTAATTTAAGACACAGGAGACTACTGACAGCCGTTGCCCACTTAATGGGTTCAAGATGGCGTCCTTTGTGGGACAATTCTGCTGCCTCCCTGCAACTGGCTGCAACGGGCCCTGTGAGGTGGCTGCAAACGTTCGGTCTCTTGGGTCAGCGAACCACTGCACGAAGAGGTGACTTTGAACAACAAGGATACGCCAAAAATCCCGGTGCATGGACATTGGGTGCCCCAAGATGTGCTGGAGCGCCGAGCATCTTTTCAAGGTGGGCGGTGTAGAGATGTGAAGCGTTTATCATTTTGGCAAAGCCCCACAGTCAAGGGCTGGAACCATGGTGTTATGGGTACCCTAAACCCTGTATATTTTTGGATCTGATCTACCTTCAAATGTCAGCTAGCAATGGCTTTTGATGTCCGTTTCCATGATATAAGATGATATGATATAAGATGTGCATCGTTTGGTTGTTGATTGCACATATTTTACGATGTCCCTTTAACCTCAGACGATGACCCGTAGAGCGAGCTGCTTTAGTTTCGCTGCCACAGGCGAAACTGCCCAAAAACTGGGCGGCAGACAGCTGGAGCTTCAAACGAGTTCCGGAGCGGTGCCATGTTTGCTCGTGGAGCCCATGGGGAAACTCATCAACCAGGAGATGGGAGTGGGAACGGAAGTGTGAAAGAACTAAACCATCGACATAAGCATAGCTTTTTCCTGGGCTTTCATTCATTCAATACATTCAACCATTAACATGAATTAGCAGTTCATTTCAGTATCCCATGAAATCCCCATGAAAACATGTTAAAACATGTTAAGACCCATTTTTAGCCACCCATTTTTAGATGCCAAAAGTTGGAAAGCCTGGAAATAGGAGGTATTTTTCTACCATCGAACTACGATCCTGGCAACAAATTTCGGATTTTTGTCCGAGGATTACTATAATTGAAAATGGAACATCTATACCATTTATAGTTGATGTTCCCAGCTAGAAACATCCGTATTTAGTTCAAGGATGTCCCAGCTTTCTATGTTTGATGAGACCGGTTGGATGGTCAAACCCATTAATATCCCCTTACACACCTTTATTTCATTAAAGTCCATCATAATTCCATTAAATCCTATATAAACCCAATAGGTGGATGATTCGTGAGGAGTTTGTGAGTACTGCCATGGCCATTATCTTCGAGCACCGCTTCGTGACCGATCCCAAAGCCATGGACGAATGGGCGCAGGCTGGCAACAGGATGGTGCATACAGGATCATTTCGGTACCCTGGTACCCTTGTGAATGGTTGGGATTCATGGATGCTTATTCCCCCAGTTATATGATAGTCATAGGTTTTGACCCATCCCCATATTTGTAGATCACTTTTGATGACTAAGTTGGTTGAAAACAACGATAAAAAACGAACATAACTGGCCCGGAAGCTTCCAGTTTACCTCTGAGATAAGGAACTGTTGGGTGATTTTACCGCGATTTTGGGGTTGGTTACCTAGCTGACAAGTTGAAGATGAGGGATGTCCAAGAAGGATTCTTTTTTGACTTTTGCGGCATAGGTCTAATATACACCAAGGGAAATATAGAGACCATCAGGGATTCATGGTTCGTGTTTAAGTTATGCAAGCCGAAAGAGGGTGCCGAAAAGTGTTTCCAGGACGTTAGAGACTTATGATATTTCCAGGTTTTTCAATTTTTCTCGGGTTCTTAAACAGTCATAACCGTCTTGTTTTGGATGTCTAACTGGGGCCCCAGCGACAGGATCAACAGCTCTGACAGGTGTTGAAAAGAACCAAGTTGCTGGATGCTGGAGTCTCTGTGGCTATGCCCATGTTGTCACCGGAGTTGGATCTCACAGCTGCTGGGACCTCGCAGTTTTCGGAGCGATTTCTGTGGGCAACGGTTAGGGAGGTTAGGGAGATTAGATGCAGCATTGCAGCGCTTGTGCGTCTTCAATGGCAAATTTACGAAGGTTTTTAGATTCAGGCGTCAGTTGGATTTATTGGGGAATCCATCAGATTTTGTAGGTGGAAGTTAAGATTGGAGGTCCAGGGACCTCAGGGACCCAGAGATTTTGCTGGCTTGTGGTCTTGCAAAATCTGACAGGGATCCAAATCCAACTGACCGTGGGTCAAAATTGATCATCAGATTTGAACACATCCCTTAGGTTTGCTAACTTCAATCCCCTTTTTCCCATTCCAAATGGTCTTGAATCCACTGACTCCGTTTTGCCAACTTCAAAAGTTTCAACTCCACAGACTCCCAGGAAGTGGTTCAGGCCATCATGAAGTTCTGCAGCAACGACCTCTGCATCTTGTCCGGCAAAGGCCCTGGCGCCGCCCGGGCCCTGGACGCGGCCGCGAAAGGTGGAACGGACGCCACGGTGGCGGCGTGTCTGCTCTTCGCCCCGGAGCCGCCGGCGCCGGAGCGGTGTGGCTATGAAGGGCCGGTGATGTGGCTCGGCCGGGGCGAATCTAGCGCGATGATAGGGGGGATCCTCTCTTGGGGATAGGAAAATGATGTATACCTCCAGCAATGAAACATGGATAGCCTGAAAATCCCCACATATTCCCACATCTACAGAGACTTCTTCAGCTGAAAAGCTTTATAGGAGATTTTCCAGCCATGTTTGATTACGAGTGTACACCCCCAAATTGCCATTTGAATCAGAATATGATGATACTATAAGGGATGTTGTGGGTGCCCTATTTGCAGACAACCCTAGATGGAATATATTTGTAGCAAATGGATTCAACTGATGGTTCAATGTGGATGTAGGGGATAGAATTAATATAATGGTGGAGCCAATTATGATATTGGGATGTAATATGATACAACTAACCAACAACGTGATCTATATATAGGATTATATAGGTGTGTCTTGCTCGCAGCATTTCTTGCCTCCTTGTGAAAGCTATTGGGAAAATAATGATGAACTAGTGGATGGAATGAATGGGGTACCCTACACCAGTTTCCCCTCTATCTTTCATAAACACATACCACTACCATCATAATCATAATCATCATCATCATCATCATCATCACCCACCACCACCACCACCACCATCATCATCATCATCATCATCATCATCATCATCATCATCATCACCATCATCCTCGTCCTCATCATGATCCTCATCAATAATCACAGTAACTACTGTATAATATACAGTAATTATATATAATTGGATATATGATAATACATGACGACATTATATGTATACACATGATTGTATATATAATATATTCATATATAATAGAATATATATATATCATGTATTATACAATATTCTTCATGATGATTGGTACATAGTATATTATGACTAGTTAATCACTCATCATGAATAATATTATGTTATCATCATGAAGATGTAAAATATCATGTTGATACATATGTTATTGTAACAACGCATGACAATCATCCCTCGCGAGGTTAGTATGGGCTCAAGACGACCAGGACTCGCCCTTCGACCAGGCCGGTCTGTGGGCCGAAGCTTTGGCCCTCCGCGATGGCGGCACCGCCATTGCGGTGCTGCGGGATCCCACGCTGGGGGGCCACGACCTGGGGAGGATGCTGCGCAACCTGGCAAGCAACGCCACGTTTTGTTTGAGCTGTTAGTAAGAACTGTAAATATCATGAAATATCCACCTAGTTGGTGGTGACTGGAACCATGGAATTTAATGACTTTCCATTCAGTTGGGAATGTCATCATCCGAACTGACGAACTCATATTTTTCAGAGGGGTAGGTATACCACCAACCAACCACTGTTTTTAATGTCTTAAGCAACTTATTGGGTTAGCATTTTAAGAGTTTTTTTTTTCTAAGCGTTTAGGCAAGTTTCGTGTTTTACACGTTTCAGTCATTGTGAACAATTTGTTTGCTATTTGGGAGTGGTTTCCTGGTGGAACATGTTTGGGAGTTATTTCAAGTGGAATTTCTGGGCTAAGATTTGTTGGCAACAGCAATGTTCACTTACGATATGATTTGATTTGTTGGGACAACATGGATGTAGTTGGTGGTTGATTGTGTTTGCTGCTTTCCAACCCCAAATAGAATGATTGCAGCAACTTCAAATGATATTGTGCCAGTTTATGTGTCAGCTGTATTCTTACTGTTGTTCTACTCTCTGTCCAAAACATGGGGCACAGCATCAGAATCATGATTTATGTGTTGTCCCAACAAATGTGTTGTTTTCCATCAATTGGTTAGCATGTTTCTTGCTCAGATCATCAGATTTGTTGGTTCATGTCCCCATGTCTGTATGTTCTATTGGTTCAATATCCAACATGTTCAAGTCTTGGTTGTCAGTATCCCCGTAACGAAACATATCTGCTTGGTTCAATCAGGCAAGACCCAGTTTTTTTGGAGGTAAAGAAAAGAGTCAGGCACGATGGTGTTCCATCATTAGTTTGCTATGTTGGTAAACATAGGTTTAATGGTGATGAAGCAACTGTCATTAGATGAGATCATATGAAATATATGGGTGTGTCTGAAAATTAAGGTCCCCAAAATGGTTAATTTAGTAGGGATAGTGGTGATTAGTTATGGCATTCCCTGTTTTCAGACAAACCCACTACAAAAAAAAACACAACTAGTAAGAGGGTTCGCAACCAGGTAAGGATTGTTTTTTTTTCAAGAAAATCAATCAACTTTTAACTGAGACTAAGGGGCAGCGCAACCAGGTAAGGATGAGGCATGTGCTGCAGACATCTTATCCTTTGTGGCGGCCTCCCTACTCTTGATCGAACTGAGAAGGTTGGATGGCTCCCAGCTGCAGAAGGATCGTTGCTGGGCTCCTACATCTTTCGTCAATCCGATTGGTTTGGGTTCAATGAAAACCAACCAATACAGTAGGTAGATGATAATCAACAGTAGTACTGATTGGTGGTTTGGAACCATGGAATTTTCCGACTTTCCATTTTTGGGAATGTCATCATCTCAACTGACGAACTCATATTTTTCAGAGGGGTAGGTATACCACCAACCAGTCCATGTTTGGGGCTCCTTTTTTTCCACGAAAGACACCACGACATCCACGTCGGAAGAGAAGCGTTTTGGATTGAGGTGGCAAGGTCCCAAGATGTCCCAAGCCAAAACTGGTTGGTGGTTCCATAATTTCATCGGATAATCCTTGCCATTGACTAATGACTAATATTTTTCAAGATGGTTAAAACCACCAACCAGAAAAGCATGTTGGGCATGTTGTTCATATGTTCTTTCTGCCAAGTTGCGGGAAAGTCACAAAGTCCAGTGATTTTCATGGGAAAAAAACCTTGCTTTTCCAGTAACACATCCTTTAAACCAATCCAAAAAGACGGGAAACGCTGCAGAGTCGCCCGGCGAGCCAGGTTTATTACGCCTCTTTGAGGAACTGCCGCTGCATCTCACCCAACAGTTCCTGGGTGTGGTTAGAAAAAATATATTAATATAAAACATGTCCATTTTAATGAGTTGTATGGAGAGACCAGTTGAACATAGTGATTTAGCATCAAATGCGGGGTGGGTTATTTTCATATATCATATATATATATACATACGTATATTTGTAGCATTCTTTGTGGTCCATCCCTAGAAATGGATTGTTAACACCCAGAATTAATTATAGTTGGTGGTTTCCTGTTTTCTTTTTCAGCTTCCAGAAATTGTGGGTTGTTGATCAACAAATTACTGTAAATGAATGTTGTTGATAGAACCCAAAGAAATGGGTTGTTTAAGTGGTTCTCAGTTTTATCATATTTTCAGAATTAAACTTAAGAATATCTATCATCTCTCTCTCTATATATATATAGTACTAGTTTCATAAATTCTACATTTTAATATTTGTTCCTTGTCCATTTCACATTCTCATTGGTTCCAATGAACTGGTTGAAACAAGCGTTTCCAGGTTCGCAAGAAGACGGCTGAACGGAGAGAACTTGGAAGGGAAACATGCAGATGACTTGGCGGTCGCCTTAGTCTCTCACATGCAGGACTCGACCTTACACGACCTACTGTGGGGATAGCAGACAGTACCGAAAACAGCTGGGACATGACCTACTACAAATGGGGGTTTCCTACATCATTAGGGTAGCCCAAAAAGGCTATAGTTTATCATGGAAAATCCCAATCTAAAATAGATGATTTGGGGCTTCCCAAATTTCAGGAAAACCTACCATCCCCCCTAACTGTTGCAGTTGGACCCTTGGAATACCCGATGGCCCGCCTGCACCGAGAAGCGGACAATTTCTTCGCTTGTGGTGAATCATTTGGAATCCCATAAAACCAGTTTTTAATTTTTTTTACACAATTAATTGCACATATATGATTGGACTGGTTTTCTTGAGAAAATTAAAAAAGGAAACCATATAGATTTTCCTATGAAGATCGTGGGGATTTCCTGTAGATTTTCCCTTAAACCAATCCATTGAATATATTTATATATTTGTATGTATATAAATACATACACTTGCCATTAATAATTGATTATGATTGTATAATCCAGTCTTGCTGGCAATCCTATTCCCACTCGCCAAGGTTAGTTGACCACCATTAAGGTCAGATAGTTTCATTTGGCTTTCGAAAATCATGATTTTCCTTCAGAATCTACCATGAAAATTGCAAGAATTGTCAATTTTTCACCATCATTGCTATTACTCACCATTGTTACCATGCTCATATTCCAATTATTCCACCATGATTCACCATGATTCACCATCATTCGCCATGATTTCCAATTATTCAGTGAATATTTACCATTCCTTACCATTACAGAACCCATAGGATCCATGGTGCTGCTATATATGGTAACATGGATCCCATCAATATACCCCACTTATGTTAGCATATATATATATAGCATACATGGATCCTATGGGGAATGCTTAGGGCTTCACATTTTATACATTTCATCAACCCAGTCCCGTCCCTGACCCCAGAGGACGCTGCCACGGCGCTGGAGATCGCCAGCTCCCTGTCGGAGTGGATCAATAACGACATGCAACGGCCCATGGTCTCGGCTTCTGAGTGATGGCCAGTGATGGCCCTGGGTGGAAGCGGAAACACGCAACAAGTGGGGGCCTGTTAGACGATAGCTAAGTTGATATATGGATGTTTATAGTGGATATGACAGAACATACTAGAACCATCTATCTAATCTAATCTAATCTAGTCTAATCTAATCTAAATCTAATGTAATCTAATCTAATCTAATCTAATCTAAATCTCATCTAATCTAATCCAATCCAAGCCAATCTAATCTATCTATCTATATCAATATTATATTCTTAATGGATCTTTCTATTGGGTTAGCTTGCTGTTACAACTGGGGAGGCTCCACCTTTTGCAGCATCTTGAAACAACTAGGGTGAGGAAGCCATGATGTGAGGATGAGATGTTTCTTGGGAATTTCTCCAATGGTGATAGAAACAACCCATGGATGGCGGGTTGCAATTGAAAATTAGGAGACACGAAATTGGGGGCTGGGGGGCTGATTTTTTTTGAGACATACACATAGATTGAGACTGAACATGTGAGTTGAAAACCATTGGTCCCAAATTTGGAAGATCAGTCAGTCCTTCCCCTCCAAATCAGCTTCTGAGAGCGTGCAGTTCTGAAGTTGAAATACCCAGAGTGCCATCAAAGAGTCGAGTCATATAAGAGCATTATGTTCAGACAAAAAATAGCAAATTCACAGGGACCTTACCACAGTAGGGAGAATGATTCCAAGAACGGTTTCTTTTGGGTTTGTGAGTTCCCAAAAAATCCGCAATGTTACGACTGTTCTATTCAATAAATTTTGTGTAAGGGAAACTTTGCTGGACACCCCCATATATCAAGGGACAAAGCAGGGTGTATTGTAAATTGTCTGGCAATTTTCCCCAATGATCTGTTATAAGGCAATATAAGGCATACAGTATACAGATATAATGAATCATATTGAATCATATTACATTACACGTAGTATCTGGTCTTTGAAGTTACAGGCCTTTCAAGACGTAAACGGTTTCAGCTTCCAAGCCTGGGCTGAGCCAATGTTCGAGGCATATCTGCAGCGACAAAGTTTCGCGAAAATGTCGCTGGCGTGTTGCGTCCTGACAATCTAAGCCTAAGGAATCCAGACGAGTCATAGACGAGTCATGTCGTAGTTTCAGGGGTAGCTTTCCAGGGGGTGACCTTTTGAGGTATCCCATGAACAGCCTCCGAAACCCTGCAAACTGTAAATGAAAGGAGGGATAAAGGTGAGGTAATTCAGCATGCAGCTTGAGTTGTGGCTTGTGGCATGGATTCCGCGGCTTCACTGTTGTAATGCAACATGGAGAATTTGGAGAATCTGAGAATCATTGTCAATGCATGGTGTATTGGATCCGTTGTCGGTTTTAATTACGTATGTTTGCCAGCCGAGTCACTTTCAGAGGTGGTACTGTTGCCCACCGTAGGAGTAGACGTATACGGACAATCCCAACCAGGATATCATCGTATATCCCATGTATGTTCATGTTTTTCGGGGAATTGGCAACGGACAGTCCTAGCTATAACTCAGATGGGGATGTATCATTGCTATCTGAATATGGGTCCAAACCCCAACACCCTGCTCTTCACTCTTCACAGCAACTGATATGTATATGATTGTATAGATATTGTATACGAATATGATTATAGTATATTATATTACACTACCACATCTGGTTGGTGGTTTGGAACATGTTTTATTTTTTCCATTCAATTGGGAATTATCATCCAAACCGACGAACTCATATTTTTCAGAGGGGTAGGTCAACCACCAACCAGATTACACTACCATATGGGGATGGGTCAAAACCTATTATTACCATATTGGGGGAATACACATTCATTAGCCGGCTATTTTAGGGTACCTATGGTACCAGGCTTTTGAGGCATAGCCATATGAATTCCATGGTCAAAACCGCATGAAATTCCATGGTAAAAATGTTCCAACGCTCCAGGGCGGCTTCCAGCCCATTGGCTTAGTCTTCGTGGTCGCCAAGGTTCGGGGATACCCAACGAGCCGGTGAGCGATGGTGGGCCAAAATGGGCGGCCAGAGCCTACCATATTTAAGGGGCCCCCGGTTGGATAGCTCTATAAGTTGCCTTATAAGTAGCTGAATTCTATGGTTTATGGATGTTTATGGTAGATATATGTAGATATAACGAACTAGTTAACTAGTTCATGGGGTTTATAAACCAACTTCAACCAACTTAGAACTGGGGGGCACCATCCTGTAGCAGCCATGTTAGTTGATGAGTTCTTCGCAATCCCAGATTTTTTCCCAGATTTCTTTCGTGTTTTTGTTTGGCTTTCACCATGGACGGTCCATAGGCAAAACATGAGACACCTTGCTCAATGGCCATTCCAGGATCCTAAAATGGAGGTACCTACCATAAATGAGGCCTATATAAGGCCTATGTAAGGGAATATCCCAGCAAAATATGGCCTTATATGGTACAGTACCTCCATTTTAGGATCCTGGAATTCCCATTGACTTGCTCACCTGGGCAAAAGCTATGGACGGTCCACAAAAATATGGAGGTCTCACCAGGGCGATTGATCCAAGATCCATGGCCTGCAGGTGTTCTTCTCATGCCTCTGTGCCGTGCTGGCCGAGAAACATCTCAAGGCACGATTTGAGAAAACTCATTTGACAAAAAAATACATGGAGTAGGACCAGTAGGACCCCAGCTTTCATGAGATAGTTGAAGGCTTTTTTTTCCTTCGGAATGGGAGATTCTCCATGTGGGAATCCATAGCAGATATATATATATAATATAAATATATATATATATATATATTATATATTAATATATATATATTATCAAATTGGTAGCGGCCTATCCCTTTCAACTCCTCCTCCAGCCCTGCTGGCCGCTTTGACACACCGTGTCTTTTCCTCCAACGATTTGTCCAGCTCCGGCCCTGCGAAGCTATGGCTAAAGCCGAGCCCTCCCACCGCGCTCCCTGAGCCTATCCCCTGGCTGCGGAGAGGCAATGGGCATTGGTATCATCCTGGATGGATGGGCAGATGCATAGTGGAAGACATGTGGAACTGGCAGGGATTTCACATTCCCAACATTCTAAAAAAGTTCCAGCATGTCCCGGTTGGTTCGCAAGCATGTCTTCCCAGATATTCCAAGTTCGTAGGCACGCAACAAGATTCAAAGGATTTAGCTACGACAAATAAAAGTGGCCGATCTCCAACTGGCTTCTCGTGTTCTTCACGAGATGTTGCATTGGAGTTGCTGCCTCAAGATAAGCATAACTGGCAACGAAAAACAGATCAAATAATTTGAAATTTTCCATATTCAAGCTTGGAGTTATCTATCCCTGCATGCTGTCTGATCCATTTCGAATCCACTGCAACCTGGCCCTTGAGTCGGATCGGGCTTTGAGGATTTCGGCTTCGTCATGAAGGCTGTATCTTCCCAATCGCAAGCATTCTCTTAACATCGTGTTGTCCATGATTTTCGTGAGGGAGTCAGCCACCTGTGCACCTGATGGTACCCATCTGATCTGTATTCCGTTCTGAAGATGTTCCTTGATGAGCTTGGCTTGCAACTGAGTTCTAAACTCGCTACATGACGGCGGTGCTGTTCTGCTGATTAAATCGAAGAGAGATTTGCAGTCGGTGGTTATTATGGCGTCTGAGGTTTTAGGAAGGCTTTTCAACATTTCTTGAACCTTTTCTGGTGGGGTGTAAGCATCATCTTCTTCTTCTGGGATCAAGGCTGCAAAAGCGGTGGGTAATTTGAGTAAAGTCTGATCAGCTTGTTTCCAGGGTAGGTTAACATCATGTAGCCAGCCCCAGTATAACCGAATCCAAGACAACACATCCACAGCCCCCGCTAATGACATGGCTTCCGCGGACAGAGTGCTAACTGCCACCTTCTGAATTTTCTTTGAGTGCCAAACAATGGGACTCACATCACTTTTCTGGTTTTGACCAATCTGTTGGTGACAGGCCATGATTACCATACCTTGATGAGAGCTGGTGGTCTTCTGAGAGGCAAATGAGGCATCGGAAAATGCTACAAATCTCACATCACTCATGGGTATGGCCTTGATGGAAATCTGAACATTGGCGTGTATCCTAGCTTCATGTAAGATCCTATTGGCTTCTATCAACGTATTGACTTTGGCCCGATTGATCTCACTCTGCAGCCATCTCAGTCGTGAACGCAGATCCGGTCTGGTGTTAACTGCGGCATACTGCAGCGATCCAATCACGGCTCGCAGTGACTGGCGTTCAGCTTCGCTCACTACTGCCTCGGGTTGGCTTCTACGTTCTCTGGAGATTGCGATGGAGTGAATATCTTTGATGTATTGAGTTTGATTGATGTTGATGGAATAGTCAGGTTGTTGTTCTATTCTCAGTCCGGTGAACGTGAAATTCTGTTTCTTGTGACTTCCAAAAGGAAAACGTTTAGCCACCTCTTGAAGCTTCTGAGAAAAAAAACTCTGAGCCACAGCAAAGGCCATCGTCCACGTGGACGCCAAGGATACCCTCTGTGGTTTGCTTTTCGGGATGTGGCAAAACAAAAGCACATGGATCAAAAGGACTCTGTACAAAACCTACTTGTTCCAGGCCTGATTTGAGTTCCATGAACCACAAATAAGGTGCATCCACTCGGCCGTATGCTCCTTTGAGCAGTTTCAAGACCTCATGAGGCTTCAGTCTCATCCTTTCACGCATTTCAGTGGGAGGTTCAATTCCCAAGACCCTACCTGTCGTTTCACTTCCCCTGAGAAAGGCCGTACGAATGTCAAATGACTCGATTGTCCACCTTTTGGATGCAGCAGTTTGGAGTATGAGCATGCGGGTCAGCTTTGACATTGTGGGACTATCCCGGGGAACTTCATGAACCAAAGGGTCTTCATAACCCAGTACTACCAATCTTGCCTTAGGAACATGTTTGGGTTTCCCGGACTCTGTGGTGTTTTCACTAGGGTCAACAGGTTTCCAAGTTAAAATCCATCGGCACCGCATGAGATTTCCTTCTGGTATTTGATGTCTCAGCACACGCGTGACCGTGTCAGTGGACAACCAGCTGTCAATCTCTTTGGTCTTGGCATCTTGAAACATTTGTTTCTCCTGGGCTGTGAGTTGAGACAACTTCACCTCACTCCGCTGTCTTTTGGCAGCGGTTGCTACGAATGCCATGTGTTTTGGGCATGTCTCCCTTTTCCATTGGTCAATATCATGTTGTGATATGTCTATTTCCATTTTCCATCCTTCATCATGTTCCAAGTGAAAACAGTCATGAACATCGGTGAACAATTCATCATCAGTGTCACCAATGGGAATGGGCACCTCGACCGGGTTTGGTGGCCGCTGCTCTACTTGTTCATCCGCATGTTCTGACAGCATGGGCGTTCCAGGGCTCAGGCTATGACTGCTCGCACTGGATGGAACAGTTGGACTTCCGCCCAATGGCTCTTGGTCAGGCTGATCTTGGCTGATCACACTTGGGGAGTCATGGGGATTATTTATTGGGTGGTGGTGGTTATGGCTTTGGGCTTGTGATATCTGATCATTCTGAGTTATTGTGCTTTCATTGGGAATGGCTTGATTGTGAAATTGGACTCCCCCATGTCTTGGCACGACTGACTGACCCTGGTGCACATGCGATGTGTCTTGTCCGGAATGCTCATGTTGTTTCCACTCTTCTACGGCTGACAGTGGTCTGAGATGCTCAGGTGCAATCCGGTACAGTTTGTTCCCTTGAGTTACCCAAACAACCTTTTGACCCTTTTGGATGATCACTTGAAGGGGCCCCGACCAAATACCGTCGGCCTCACCTTTCTTGCTCCATCTCATGACCCATTCACCTCGGACATATTGTCCTCGATGTGGTCGGCTGCGACTTACCAAAGCTCGCCGCAACGCCTGGTCATTGTCAACCACAGTGAAAGCTCTCCTTGCACGCTCTCGAGCAGCTAACTCTTCTCTGAACCTCTGACCTTCGGGAAGATCTTGAAGTGCTATTTCATGTGAAGCTCGGTTTTCATCAGAGACAACTGAACCGGGAGTTCGAGCAGTTTTCCCAAAAACCAACAGTTCTGGTGCGAAACCTCGATACCTGCTCCACTGATTTTTGGTCATGGTGGCTTGTGACAGAGCAACTTCTAGGTCATGGTATGTTTTGATGGGTTCTTCATGGTCCATCTTGGTTAACATGACTTGTAAAATCCCTCCATGTCTCTCTGCTCGAGAGTTCTGCCAGTGGGCTTCGGTTGCACATGTTCGATGGCAAATTCCGTACTTCTGCAGAAAACCCATGAACACTTGTGAATTGAGTTCAGTGGCCGCATCAACGCACAACAGTCTCGGAGGTCCAGCCCATTGAATCCAGCCTTGTAAAAGAGCATGGGCCGCATCTGTGGCTTGTTTGGATGGTGCTGCAATCGCCGTTTGGTACATGGTGCTTTGGTCAACAAAATGATAAAACCGCATTTGTTCTCCATCCCTGTTTGTCCACAAAACTTCATCCATGGAAATGATGTCACCGAAATCAACTGTCTCATGAATGGCACTGTTGCGAGCAACTTTGGGTTGGCTCGTCTCCAAACATGTTGAGCATCTTAAATCTGGGATCGCTTGGAGGAGATTGTTGGGACATCCCAACGACTTGCAAAACTGCTGCAGCTTTGAGGCACTTGGGTGGCCCATATTCCGGTGAACTTTCAACAACCATGATTGTTCTTCACTTTTGAGTTCCTGAAATCTAGGTCCATGTTTCTGGCTGACTAGATCGATTACTTCTCGGTCATGGTGTGATGGCGGAGTGGTTACCTGTCGGTCTTGGTGTTCGGCAGAATTTGGGTTATTAAGGTTATCTTGAGGGTTATTGATGTTATGAGGTTCCTGGTTATCTTGGGAATTATGATCATGAGGATTATTACCGGCAGTGGTGATGGGGGCATCAGGATTTGGCATGGGTGTGGCATTCCCAACTCGTGCTCTCTTGCTGACTGGAACATTGTCGGATGCAGGTCGATCATGAATTAAAGTCTCAGGTACAGCATCGCTGGGCTTCGAACGAACCTGGGCGAAGATAGTCAAGCTGACTCTGGCTGGCACGCATTTCCTACGCAGTCCCTTCAAGGTCAAACGTTCCCAGGGTTCCCACTCACTCTCCACATGGATGTCTTCATGCTTTCGTCGAATGCAAATCATTCGACGCACGGGTGCAGTGCCCTTCGGCATATCTTTGTTGGGACCAACATGACGATCAATACCCCTGCAGAGTACTATATGTTTCACGATATGCTCGGAACACATACTTTGGATTTGTTGGATAATGGGACCCTCATCCACTACCAGTGTGCCAACTCGTCTTGCCATTCGATCGGCCTCTTTCATGATGCTTTCCCATGACACGCTTGGGAACCTTGCTTCAATGGCAGCGGTGCTCATCTTACTTCCCAGCCTTCTCTTCTTGGTCGGATGTTCAGTGTCATTGACAAGTGCAAATTCGGGTTTGGACTTTTCAGCTAAGAGTATCTTGGCGACCTGGCGAGCAAATCTGGTCGGATACAACTCAGTGTACTTGGATCGAAGCATTGACCTACCGTGCACAGTGGTATTTCCGGAAATCTGTTGATGTGGATGTTGATTGGAGCACCATTGCCCATGAAGCGATGTGTGCAGCAGCACGGATGACGTGCGAACATCCAATCGCTTGCGAATGGCCAGGCCGGATGCCGGGTCAGTCAGCTTTCCTACTGTACACATGTCAAAACTGCAGGGATAGGTGTTCTCCAGAATCACTTGATTTCCGGGGATCTTCAACATGTTTGAACCATGGGGTTGTTCATGATGATAGTGACATTGATTCATAACCTGGTATTCTTGCAAAACGATTCCAAGTGCTACCTGCCAGAGACTTTGCATACGTTCTTGAAACATCATTTCATTCTGTTCTATGGATCTCATGGCATTAAATTGACTCCACATGCACCACGGTTTGCAAACGGGACTGTACCACACGTGTTTGGGACGATGAATCACTAACATCTTGAAAAGCTTCTGACGACCCTCGAGCTTGGACAAATCACCATCGGTCTCAGCAAATCGCATGGCTTTTCCGCCCAGTGCTAAGACTTGGCGAGCCAACTCACTTTGACTGCTGCACATCACTTCATACAGGTCAATCTTTGGGGCTGCGAACTTGCGGGTGTTGTAAACTTCTTTGGTTTTCTCAAGTTCTAACCTGAACTGCTTGACTAACCTCTGGACCTTAGTTTTGAAAGTATCAGTGGATACATTCTCAGGCATCTGAAACATGTAGTCAAGGCTATCATCTGGTTCTGCCCAAAGAGACTGTTCCTGTCGATCAGTGATGTTTGTCGGAGCGGCATCTACTGTGATGGCGTCAGTGCTTTCGCATGAGTGATGAGCTCTTGGATGGCCATCTCGATCTGCGTCATTCGGCCTCGAAGATTGTGATTCTCCTCCTGCACGATGGACACTTATTCCTCCAGCAGCGCACTCTGGGATGTCTCCATGATCGGCACGAACTCGCTGAGCTCGGATGCTTCTTCCCACCCTGGTTCCTCCTTTGGAGAGGTCTTGCTGGTGGTGGGTAGAGAATCCTTCTTCAGCCCCGCGTTCCGGTACTTTTTGGTGTCTGTCGCAATCTCGGCATCCAACCGTTTGCTGACATAGGTGATGTACTTGGCATGCTCGATCTTGGTGCTGGATTCGTACGTTGTCACAAACCAGTCCGTCCATCTCCCGTCCTCGAAGGCGGTCTTGAAAGTCTGGCCGCACTTGGCCTTGCCAAACTGAATCACTTCCTTCTCCAGATCGGCCAGAGACATCTGACGAACTGACTTCAGTTGACCCTCCGTGTTCGTCTCCTCGTTGGCATTGCGGTAGCTCTTGAGCTTCTGTGAGAGAGCCATGGTGCAAACAGTCGATTCGAGAGTCACAACTGGTGATTGCTTGGGGCACACTCGATCCAACAGTCTCACTTATGGTCATGTTCATGCTACTTTTGTCAAAAACCTCGGAATGGCATGCTGCTGAACTATTTGAGACACTCAAAAAATTCTTCTCAGGCTCTTGATGCATGTTCAAAACACTTGATGGATTGACTGGCAAACACGAACCGGTTTCCCCAGCATTGGTTTTGGACTCGAGCGGCAAATGATGCTCTTGGAAAAATTCATCTTGCGTCATGTTCATAGCCTCCGCTTTCTCGTCTTCCCAGAGCTGATTGATATCCATCAAAAACAAATTCTTGCTGGATTTCTGCAGTGAAAAATATCGAGATAGCAATCGACTGTACAAAGTTTCTTTGTCAGTATCGATAACAGCTTTCAGTCCCTTCAGGAAGGCATTGGAAATGAGGAACGGAGTCTTCCCTTCCACAACAGCGATCCTAAACGACTTTGATCCCAGTGGTAGGACCAGTGCATGGCGGCTGCAGAGTGTCTGGTGATTCCCAAACCTAAAGGTCAGGCTGCATGGACATCTTCGTGTCTTTGCACGCACCCAGTCAGGCAATTGAGACAATAACTCTGGCACTTGTTCACTTCCTATCACTGTTTGTGACGCACCTAGGTCAACCACACCTACTGTTCCCGTGGTGGCAAACAAACTTGGAATGTCACTGGATGCATCGGATGCAATGGCAGGGGATGCTGACCTATTTGGGTCAGACTCGGATTGGCATCGATCTCTCAGCTGTCTTTGAAATCGGTCAGAAGTCAGGAGTTTCCTGAGGCGATTGTGCAGGTATTTCGGTGAAAATTCCTCAAATCTATTACCCCAGTTATCCCACTTATCAATTTTACCCCCATTGAAATTCCGGACATTCCTATGGCTCAACCAAGATTCATCAGTTACGGCCATGTTCACAAGGACTTCAGGCAGATCATCGGTCACCACAAACGTCGTCGGCACCGTTGTCGACGAAGCAGCGGAGGCATTACTACCACTGGAGTTTCGGTTGGGACATTCATTCTTCCAGTGGCCCTTCTTCAAACATATCCTGCAGTAAGAGTTGGCTATCCTACTGGCCAGGCTTCCTTTGCCTTTGCCTTTGACCTTACCTTTCTTGCCTGAGCCTTTCTCACCTTTTCTCACTGACCAGAACCCACGGAATCGGACTTTTTCGGACAGTCTTTTTCGCGCATCCTGGTATGCACTGTAAACGGCACACATCTCATTGTCATTCTGTATTGTTTCGCTGATGGCGTCCTCAAATTGAAGGATCAGCGCTGCGTCTTCATCATCCTCAGCTGCCAAGGTCTCCAAGACCTGATCATCAAGTTCTTCTTGAACCCAAAAGGTGTCCAGGTTCTCATCCTCCAAGACTTCGTCCATCGCAAAAGCTGTGTGATCGTACGTTTTCAGGCCCTTGTCACGTTTTGCCCCTGTCATCTCTTGAAAGAATCCAGAGCCCACCATCCGTATGGCAGAGTGCACCTTGGAGAGTTCCAGTGAGCCCCCTTGTTCTGCTCCTGAATCGACTATCACTCGCTTCTTGTCGTCAGCGTTCAACTTGCTGCCTCTGAGGATGATGTAGGACCTTATCTCCTTGAGATCGACACCCTTTGACATCAATTCTGTCCAGATCACTTCTGTCCTGGACAGGTACGAATCACTTGACTCATCGGCCTTCTGTTGGCCCCTGTACAGCGCCTTCTCCACCAGCTCGAATTTCTTCTCCAACGCGATTGCTCCCCATGTTCCGCCTACCAGTTCCACCAGCTTCTTGATGGATGCCACGTCATTGACTAGGAGCTCCTTTTGATGAAGCTGTAGCTTCTGGTACGCCGTTCCCTTGCAACCCAGGATGAGTCGGGTCACCAACTCCAGGATCTTGCTTTGTGGCCAAGCATGCAGTAGCAACTCCACCTTGCTTGACCAAATCTCCACGTTGTCGGTCGCCGGGTCAAAAGACGGGACCAAGACTGCCAGCTGCGTCGACACAGAACCTGTGTCACTGGAGCCGGAGTCCATCATCTTTGCCAGGCTCCGCTACCAGTATCAAACTGGTAGCGGCCTATCCCTTTCAACTCCTCCTCCAGCCCTGCTGGCCGCTTTGACACACCGTGTCTTTTCCTCCAACGATTTGTCCAGCTCCGGCCCTGCGAAGCTATGGCTAAAGCCGAGCCCTCCCACCGCGCTCCCTGAGCCTATCCCCTGGCTGCGGAGAGGCAATGGGCATTGGTATCATCCTGGATGGATGGGCAGATGCATAGTGGAAGACATGTGGAACTGGCAGGGATTTCACAATATATATATATATATTATATTATATTATATTATATTATATTATATTATATTATATTATATTATATTATATTATATTATATTATATTATATTATATATATATACATATTTGGACCTTAGGCAAATCCAAGATTTTGGTTGAGGATGACAAACATCATTCTTACATAATGATACATCATTGTACATCCCATTAACCAACGACGACTGGAGGTCATTCTACATCATTCTATATCATCCCAGTTCTAGAGGTATACCCAATAAACCTCCATTGTTTGGATGGTTTATAGTTTATGGCATTGGATTTACCACATGAAAAACTTGATCAACTTGATCATGATGACTTTTTGATACTTTTTGATTCCAGTGATTCGGGTTTTCCTGTGACGACTGGTCTGGGATGGACGGCAGAAGTTGGTTCCCAACACCGTCCTGGGCTTTCCATCGTCCTGGTACCCCTTTATCGCTGGATGCTTCATTATGAACAACAGCAATGTGGATGATTTTGGGGTATATCCATTTATGATATTCATGGAAAGCCTCAAATCTGTTTGTTGATCAGGACTTGATACATCTTGATACCATAGCCATCCAAAAAGCCGTTCCGGACGAACAATCTCAGTTCACTCTGCACCCATTGTGTCTGACCGGTTGCTGGTGACAGGCCTTCAAAGAAATGCCAATCTATTCACAGGTCTGGCTGAGCCAGTGCGAGCTACCTGGGGAATCCTGGGGGATTAGAATCAAAGAAATCCGTCAGCCTCACATCCACTTCATTTGAGAAGTCTGTTGGAAACAGAGCCTGCAGCGGTCTCTTGATTGGCTCAAGACATGTTGATTTTCTCGGCATTGGCAATTCTCAAGACATGATTTTTACGGGTCAATATCGCTCTGCCGAGTGGCAAAAGTCGAAGCTTTGTAGTTCCACAGTGGGGGAGATTATTGGCCTAGTTTGAATAATTGGTGCGCACCATGTTTTACCTCTGGAATTTCTGTTTGATTTCACAGTGTGTCGAAATTGTTGAGGCTCTGCCCTTCCCAAAAATATCCCAATTTTCCTAATCAACATTATTCTTTAGAACATATATCCGAAAATATCCAAAATTTCCTAATCAGCATTATTCTTTAGAAAATATATCTGAACATATCCAAAATTGCCTAATCAACATTATTCTTTAGAAAATATATCCAAAAATATCCAAAATTTCCCAGGATATGCTTGTTTATGGTCCCTATTTTTTCCAGATCCGCATTTCCGGAGCATTGAGATACAACTGGTGGCTGATCTTGTTTCTACAATTCTGTAATCGAAGATAGCTATGGAACATGCAATATTTATAGATCAATTTCCCATTTCACCCATTTCAATGGCGATTTATAGGGGATTTCCTGATTTTTCCCGGCTAGCCATGTTACCCCAGGGTAGCTTTTCCAAGCAATCCAACTGTTCCATTTGGTGGTGGGCTGGTGCAGGATTTTTAGGTTCTGGCGAAATTTAGGGGCAGGAAGGCCTCCAAAACTCTTGGATTTTCTGGTTGGTGGTGACTGGAACCATGGAATTTTTAATGGGATAATGATGGTTAATGATGGTTAATCATGGTTAATAGTGGTTAATAATCACTGGTTGGTGGTGACTGGAACCATGGAATTTTATGACTTTCCATTCATATTGGGAATGTCATCATCCCAACTGTTACTCACTCCATGATTTTTCAGAGGGGTAGGTCAACCACCAACCAGTCATGGATTTTCCTGGATTTTCACCTCACCTTTGTCCAATGACCATCCCGGATTCCACGGTCCGTACTTGGTGAATGTTGGTGACAAGCCAATCCCAAGAATCATCCCCAAATCATCCACATCAAAAAGGTGATATCTTGGAGGATCAATTCCACGAATCGTTGAATAAGAAATGGGCACTTCGACTTCGGCTTAATAACCACTTCTGAGCCGTGAGATGATCCTGCAAGTACGAATCATTTACTAAATAATAGTGGATTTACATGGATTTACTAATCATAGGTTGATGGAATATATATATATATATCTATTATATAGCTGTGTAACCCCCGAACTATGATGTGATAAGAATCATTAAACAATCATGATATAACTAATAACTGTATATAGTTGTAACAGGATTGTTTTTGTAAGATCAACCATTCAACGGTTCTTCCTGTGTAGGTGGCACAGCTGAAATTCGCTTGGTTGTGGACCTCGCTGTTCTTGACACTACTCTTTGATCGTCTCTTGCCGGGAGATCATCTCTGGGGTTGTCTGAAAATGTGGGGAAAACCATGGGAAAATCTGAACATCTACCCTATATAGAAACCATGTGGAAAACAATGGGAAAACTTGTGGAAAACCATGGGAAACCTCTGGTAAACAAACATAGCTATATAGAAAATTACCATAAAAATAGTTGATTTACCTATTATAAATGGTGATTTTCCATAGTTATGGAGCAGTTTACCAGAGGGTAGGGGAAACACATTGGGAAAAAACACATGGAAACAACGAAGCTGAATCCAATGGTCAACTTGGTCAACCACCACTAACTAATGGCCATGTAGCTGGGGTACATGTCTCACATTCAGGGGTTCAAGTTACCATTACAAATGGCCAAAACTTGTTTAGTAAAGGGTGAAACATATTTTTCTTGACAATTGAGTTCAAAAAACATTCTTAATGGGTAGATTGAGGGTGACACTAGAAACACAGCATTCGGAAAATGAAATCTTTCAATTTCTCATCCATGTAAGAGTGACATAGATTGACTCACCCAAGCCCAATACAATTTGCCATCGGCTGCTGACCTGTGACTGGGGTCAGTTTTTGGTGCAGACTGGGGTCAGTTTTTGCCTAACGGCATCAGTTTCCAGACTGAGTTGCTTTGCGGGAATTGTTCGAGGTCTTGACTCACCCATGTCTATCTGTCTGTGAGGCAACGTACGTGAGGATGGTTTCTGGAATGGCTGGGACGGACGCACCGTGGTGGTTGCTATCTCCTGGTCCGGGCCCCAATTTAATTTGTGAGATGTTGGCGGGTACAAAACCCACGACTGGGGCAACACATATGTTTTTTTTGTGGAATAATCAATCATCTTGCACCCGCCGAGTAGTATGTTTTAAGGATTGTAAAGACACGTATTTGCAATATTTTGCAATCATGCTGTCGTGTGTACAAAAATCCTCAAGAGTCCTTTTCCTTCGAGTCCTTTCTGTTGATTTTCACCACAGTTGGTGGCCGCAATATTGGCGATTATGGTAGTTCTATATCCGCACTTTTCATTGGCAAAGCATGATTTTTGCTATTCCACATCACCATGTGTTCCCCATGTTTGCTGGCCATTACCACTTTCGTGCAAATCAACATTTGCTCACCTTTTTTCAAGTTCATCCCCAAACCTGCCAAACTCGCGGCCTTTGTCGGCCGTTTCCCACATCGCTGCGAAAAATCCCTTGCCGGTCGTGGCGCAAGCGGTCGCAACGTCGCCGTCGCCGTGGCGTCCATGATCAGCGTTTGCAGCCATGGAAGCTGCCAATCCCAGGGCTCCAGTGCATTGATTTCCGACCTGGAGGACCTGACACCTGGGGGCCATCCTATGGGGGGGTCGGACCTATTTTTCCATAGGAAAATGATGAGAAAAATGATGTTTTTGATGGAAATTTAAGCAGTAATACTACTAGACCCAGGGAGATCATGGAGAGATTTTATAGGAGAACCAACTTGAAATTGGTTGGGAATCAGCATTTTTCAGGGTCTTACAATCATGATAGAAAGAAAGTTGGGATGTAAGCAATAAAATTAGGGATATTAGGGGAGTTTTCATAACCAACCGTTCTGAAGGGCAGGATAGTTCAGCACTTCAATATTTATTTTCGATATAAATTTGATCATATACCCTCTGGTAAACTAACATAACTATGGAAAATCATCATTTTTAACGGGAAAACTCACTATAAATGGCCATTTTCAATAGCTATGTTAAATTACCAGAGGGTACAAGATTGTACACACATACACTTGCACATACGTCCCAGGAAGAAGTATTTTTTTTTTCTGCGAATTGTTGGAGAGTCGACACTTTAATAAACATGGATAAGACATGATAGAAAAATCAATCAAGGGAGATATACACTGACAAACATAAGAATTTAACGATGAAACATTGATAAATATTGGGAGTTCACCATCAAAGTGTGGATTTTATCTTCCAGAAATGACATTTTCTGGGTGAATCTCCAACCGGATTTTCTACAAACTATGAAAGCATGGTTTGGTACACCCCAAAATTAGGTTATTGTAAGGTCAAGCTGACACATCGATACACTTTCAACAGTGTTTGCTTGGCCACAACGTCATAGGTGACCACAGTATTTCATAATTTCTTGTACAATCTACCCTCCAGTAAAGATACAGACACCTATAGAAATCCATGCATGTTTCCCATGCGGAAATGATCTACATTCATGCTGGATTTTCTAAACCTTTGTCTAAAAAATAACATATCCCCAAATTCGATGTTTCATCATAATTTTCCCCAGTAGAATGGCTGTTTGATGGGGGTATATATCCCATTTTCATGCTGGATTTTCCTGTATTGTTTTGTAAACGTGGGAGAAACTCCTCACTCCTTGCCGAAAGGCCAGTCCGCCCAGGACTTAGCGGAGGTACTTCCCTTGAACTTCAGCCAGCGCGGATGTTTGGGACTCTGTGGCCAGGGGCCCAACTGTCTGTTGGAGACGAAGAAGGGAAGCCAGGCATTGAATCACTTGGATTCCTTCAGCAAAGTCATTTCGATGGTGAAGAAGTTCCTGAAGGCTCAAGGCGCGGTGCTTAAAGAGATGGCATCTTAAAAAAAGCTCTGCGAAAGCATGGCTTTCCCTCAAAATGGGCTGATTTTGGGCTCAAGAAAGCATCAAATGAATTCGAATAAAGCGATTTCTTCAACAGTCATCCATTTACCGTATACCTCATGTGTGGAGATGGGTTTGGCGCTCAACACCTGACAACCTGGAGTCGGACCTGATGTACACCCATGGAATATGGAAAGCAGTTGGAAAAGACTCAAGATCCATTGGCCATTTAGATCATTATCCCATTTGGATATACCAAAATTATGCACTAGACTATACCAAAATAGACTCTTTGATCCAACTGTACCACGTAGATCCCTTTAGTGAGCCTTTAGTGACCCAATGTGATCCACCAGTGCACTTTCACAACATCAGCAGGACCACCTACGAATGGGATCAAGCACGGGTCATAATTTTCGTACTCCACTCCAGTTTCAAACCATCAAACCAATTTTCTTTGCACAAAACCCCAGACAAGCTATGAACTTCTTCCCAGAGTTGGTGTAAGTGAGAACCTACAGGAAAAAACCCTATATACACTAGGCGGTAAAAATCCATGGTTTCCTGACTGTAGATTTTCCCTGAAACCAATCCATTGAACCTCCAAAAAAGGACGGTCTGTTTCCCAATGAAATACCCCTATGTCGCATGAGTGTTGTTTTTTGGTTAAGACTTTCATTGCTGAGGATTAATCATGATTAATCTCCTTCATCCCCAAGTATAAGAAGTATATAATACCTATTGTTCATGGGTATAATACCTATAATCACCATTAATCACCATTAATCCCCTATCTGGTTGGTCAAATCCCCCATGTTGGAAATACCATCCATTAAACAATTTCAGCGTGGCAATGTGGGGTCAAATCCGCTGGAGATTTTCCTAGCTAGAAAGGTTTGATGACACAAAGGTAGGGTTTTTATCCGTGAAAATCATCATGAATTGCCATGAAAGTCATTATTAACCATTCTACCGGATTTATCCTCCGGTTAATGGCAATTAATGGATTACCATCAGTGGTGATTTTGATGGTGATTGGTAATCATCATCATTGATGGTAAATAATGGTTATCAACAATTAATATATAATCATTATCAACCATCAATCATAATTATCAATTAGCCATTGAACAAAACCATTATTAACCATCAATATCAATCACCATGATTAATCGCCATTAATCACCACGTTTCACCATTTATCAGCCATTAATCACCACTTGGTACTCCACTTCCAGGATCCCCCCGTTGCTCGCCGTTGCTGTCTGGCCAGGTAGCGACTTCACATGTCCAGAGGATCTGCTGACACGCTCGAAGTTGAAGTCCGACGCCATGCGACTGCTGAGTTCCTAGAGATGTTCCCATGGGGAAATCATGGGATTTCAATGGGGGTTTCCATCGCTCAATGGATTGGTTTAAGGGACAATTTACAGGAAAACCCCATATTCAATGGGAAAATTGATGGTTTCCTGTAGATTTTCCCTCAAACCAATCCATTGAATCGCGGTATCCCCAATAGCTGGATGGTTTATTTCATGGAAAATCCGAGTAACATGGATGATTTTGGGGGTGGCTGCATTTTGGGAAAGCTCCTGGAATTATTGAGCAGTCATGGCGATATTTTCACTTCATGGGATAGAACTTGCCAACTTGATCCATCCAACGGATGATCCAATTCTTGATTGGTTATAACTATATGTGGATTGTATTTGTATATATGTAACATATATTTAAACAAATCCATCTGTTCATTGGTTGGACATAGATCTGTTTAATCATTTGAAAAGGGATGTTACTGTAGCAGTCGTCTCAACATCTCTCCGCTGGGCACAGGTGAGTGTCATTGTGATTTGACATATTTAGTGGATCATGAACCTTTTTTTAATCCTGTCTTTCAAAATTTAGGATTCATTCAGCAACAACAGCCCTGGCTGCAGCCCATGCCGCAGCCTCTCCGAGGCAAGAGCCCCTTCCGACCGCAGCACACGGCGGAGGATATGCTGCAAGCAGCGGAGCTTCTGTCGAGGGCGATCGCCTTGGAAGATGCGCGGCCGGGGAAAGTTCGGTCGCGCAGGAGCCACCGGTGGCCATGGCTGGGATGAGGATGAGGTTTCTCATGGGTTTTCTCCAGATTTTGTTGGGGTATGTTGAGCAGAACATGGAGTTTTTAATGATGTTGTTTGGTTGAATCTTGACTATAAATAGAAATATCTATGATATTCTACAACCACTTCTGGGTGGTTTTACTCATATGAAAATTACTCGTACAAATAACCTTTTCTTTGTCTCCAATTACAAGGGTGGGCAAAAGGCCTACGGCCTAGGTATTTGGGGGACGGATTTCATTTCAGCTTCAGGAAGATTCCTCAACGTAATAGCAATCACAAGACATCTGGTTCATCCATATTTTTGCTGCTTGAACGGATTGAATCACAGTCTGGTCGCTTTCGATTCCAATTGTTCACGTCTAAGTCTAAGTCGCCCCCAATTGCCGCAAATCATCCTCCACAATTCATATTCATTCATATTCTGTTGTAGCCATAAATATCCTTTTCATATCCCATTTGTACCCCGTAATCACCCTTACAAGCCAACTTATCATAAGCTGGTGAGATCCCTAGTAAACTGCACATAACCGCAGGACCTAATTTTGATGCTTCAAGTGGTGAAACCCTTTCTTAGATGGGCCATGGTATTAGCCCATTGGTTAGTTTTTGTGGATTAGGCATCCAAAAAAATGGTGAAACTCCCCGAAAATGGGTGAAATCCTATTAAATGACCATGAATCTGACCATGAATCCGACCACAAAATCAAAAGTAAGCCCCAATAACACCATTCGTGGTTTTATTGGGCTTTAAATGATGACCATCAATGGGTTAAACCATGTTAAACCCCCATTTTGAAGCCACGACTTGGTGAACTCCCCTAGGACCTACGAGCTGCTGCTGCTGCGCGGCCAGTCCCTGGGTCGCCGCTCCCTGGCGCTGCGCGCGTCGAACGGTGACGCTTCGGCGACGGCGGCGGCGGCGCTGGAGCTGCTGGGCCGCGCCATGCTGGAGAGACCCAGGGCGCTGGAACCCTTGGTGGAGGTGCAATGCGGGTGAGTTCACCAGGTGATTAAAAAGGTTTATATAGGTTTATATATATATATAATAATGGTGATAATTTATAATAAATACCTAGTAATGGTACTAAATTTATAAATAATTATATAATACCCATAGGGTATAATGGTTTTAATGGTACTAATGGTGATTTATAAATCTAATGGTACTAATTATGGTGATTTATAAATCTAATGGTACTAATGGTGATTTATAACCACTAAGTTTTATAACCACTAAATGTTCGAGGTTTTGATACAAAAATATGATGAACATGGGGATTTTTGGAAGCAGGAAACAGAGTAACAACTTCTTATCTGAAGCGGTGTTTTATTTTGATGGTTTCAACCTAAGCCAACAAGAATGATGAACAGTGTGGTTTCACCAGGAAATAACATGGTGACATGGTGATTCCAACAAGAAGGCCATTCATGTGTTGCTAATGAAGCAAACATGATCAACATTATCTAGTCAACCAGTAAAAAATGTGAAAACAGACACTGGCAAACATGCTGATTTAAGAGGGGTCTACGCTACGCATCTCACAGGTTTGAAAGGGACATGTGTGCAATTGTGCTTGGACATCTGGATTTTGTGATCAGGGTTGGCAAGTATGATAATATCCAGGAGGAAATGAAAAGGGATCTATCATGATCTATCTTAGACAGTTGATCCGGTTTAGCCATCCGTTTGGTGAGGCGGCTCACATCTATGCCTTTAGTGGGGACACCACCAAAGCCGTGGAGTTCTATCAGCAGCTGGGCAGTGCTTGGTGATTTTGGTAGGGACCTGGGATGTCTGCCATCCCCACATGACTTGTTACTGGTAGTTTTGAAAGTTCGCCTGGTGACTTCATAAATGATTTTGCTCATGTCATGGGGATATGTAATGAAATATAGTCATATAGTGGATGGGATATAACCAATTCATAGCAACGTTAGTACCGACACTTGTGATTAAAGGATTTGCAGATACCTAATTTTCAGACAAACCCACATGACTCTGCTATTCTTGGGATGACAACAAGCCATTAACATGACCCGATCCCGTCGATGTTTTGGCTTGTCAGATTCAACATGCTAATATCTCCAAATAAGGCCAGCTAGACATAGAAGAAAGATTATGGATGGTTGACCCAAGAATATAGTTTCCAATATGTTGGGTATTCCGGGTGTGTGGCTTAGGATCTATCTGAACCTTCATGGTTACCATGGGTAGTGATAAGTCATCCACTGATCCACCGATGAATCCGGGGTGTTCCCATTTTCCCTCAGCAGGTGGGCTGGTTCACCAAAAAATGAGCCCAAGAAGGAGGTTTGTTTATTTTGAATGGGGGAAGACAATATAAGACAATGGGATTACAATGGGTAGGTACCGGGCATTTGGTATCGACCATGTTTTGGGTTTGGATATTATTAACCTTCTGCGGAGCGCATGAACAAAATTATGGGATCCATATGAACCTTTGTTCACAGAAGCTTTCAGAAATCCTCACATGGGCCCTACAGCCAGTCACCAACATGTTCATGAGTTCAATCGCAATTCCTAAAGTTCTTGGCCTCATGTTTTCAAGTAGCTGTGGGGCCCATCAGTGACCCAACTAGTTGTAGGGCCCATGTGTCAGCTTTCATTTGACATCTACCCTCTGGTAATTTAACGTAGCTATTGAAAATGGCCATTTATAGTGGATTTACCCATTCAAAATGGTGATTTTCCATAGCTATGTTAAATTACCAGAGGGTAGATCATGGGGTTGAGCCGACTTCTGGCCACCTAGGACAGCCATCACCTTAATGAAAGAGCTCAAGCTGCCCAAGCACGAAGTGGCGCGTCTGGAACGACGCGTGGAGAAGTTGATGGCTGGGACCCAGCAGCCCTTGGACTCCGGCGATGGGGCTGGTGGCCTGGACGAACGGCACGGTTTTTAGGGCTTGGAGGACCCCGGAAATTTGAGAAAAGTGATCGAATGCTATTTCTCATGAAGATTAATTAGGAAGACTATAATTATATAATAGGGATGTTATTTTATAGCCACCAATTACCATTCCGTGATCATATTTGGGAGGCTGAAGCGCCAGAGACACATGGGGGCATGAGATACCAACGATACCCACAGGATTGTTTCACCATGTTTCACCGCAACATAGGGGATGGACATTCAGTGGTGAATTTGAGAATTTACCATCTGGTTATTTAACATAGCCATGGAAAATCCCTGATAAATGGACAATTTTCCATCGCTATGTTAAATTTTTCCAGAGGGTACATCAAACACAAGGACTTCTGAAGGGGGGGCGTGCGATGTTCAACCACTGGCATGACCTCTTAGAATGGATTCAGGCAGTCATGACATGTCGTCAAAAGGAAGGACCTTGCCAAAAAAAGGTAGACGCAGAAAATAAAGCACATAAATTGATAGAAATTGAGCGGAGGACCTGCCAAGGATTACTGCAAGCAATTGTGGGCGGTCTGAAATTTACTTCCCCATTTCTCTACATCAGGTCTGTGGAGGGTCGAAGACATCACAGGCGTCTCGAAAGACACTTGCATCTACCACCTGCGCGCAAATCCACCAGGGAGTCCACATCCCTTTCCGCACAGTGCCTGGCATATCCAAGTTTTTCTGGGCTCCACCGTCCGAGAGCCATGGCCTTTTTACCCTCTGGTAAACTAACATAGCTATTGAAAATTGCCATTTATAGTGAGTTTACCCATTAAAAATGGTGATTTTCCATAGCTATGTTAGTTTACCAGATTCATTTTTCCCATCGAAAATCCATGTATGGACGGGAAAATCCCGGTTTTTTCTGTCATGTTTGGCTCCGAACAAATCCATGCGCCCAAGAAAATCCACCAGGAATACACTCCCATCTCTTCCGCCAGCGCCTGGGAAGACGGTCGCCTGGAGCTCTTGGTAAAGACCTACCCGGACGGCTGCGTGTCGCGCTTCTTCGGCACGCTGCGCACGGTGCAGGAGGCCCGGGAGGCGGCACTGCAGAGCTATGCACCGCTGGAAGAACAGATCCTGAGCTGAAATCGGATGGAAATCGGATGGATGGTATGAATTTTACATTGGTGTAAAATGAGGGAAATTGATGGAAATTGTATTTTTATTGGATTTGGAGTTGTTTTTTTGATTTTGATGGATGGGGTGGTATGAAACAGGGTTTTGAATTGGGGAAATGGTGATTTTTTCACGGAATTTATAGCTGATTTATTGATCTATGCCGAGTCTATGCCTTGGATCCTCAATTAAACCAACAAATTGTGGTAGTCAAATTTGCTATTATAGCCACATCTGAATTGAAATGTGTTTACCAAGTTTTATTGAGGGACTTTGAAGGTTAAGGGGTTAAGATATGTATGTATGCTGAGGAGAATGAATCAGAATTTCAACACCCCAAACAGTTTGTTTTTGCAATATAATCTTAACTCCAAGGCTTGTCAGTAAACCATTCTGGGTTTTGGGTCCAGTTTGAGGACACCAGGTGGTAGTGTTAATGATTATGACTCCATGTTAATTTCTGTTGGAAACTTCTCTCCAGTGTTCCTTCTTGTGTCCCAGTCTACCAAGTTGTGTTGCACTGCCCATCCCAGAAGATCTCCAAGATCCGTTGGCTCATTTCCTTCTTTTTGTCCCATAGATTCACCCTGAAAACCACAACATTTAAACATGTTCTGAACAATTGTTATGCATTTTCTTAAATTTCTAACTGTCAAAGTCTGACTCTGCCAAAAAAACACCCAGACCAAGGAACTGCTGGGTCCATGTCTCGGCTCCTTTGTTAACCCTGGACCTGCCATCCTTCACCGGTGCGGCCGCAGCGCCGCAGCTGGCGCTGGTCGCGGGTGGCACGGGGATTGCGCCCCTGGCGCAGATCATCTCCCACTGCGTGGCTGGTGGCGTGTTGGAACGGTGCCAGGTGATGCTGTTGTACTCCAGCCGAACGGTAGAGGAATGTGGAATGTGGCTGGTGGCGTGTTGGAACGGTGCCGGTAGTTGTGAAGATTTATGGAAGGTGATGCACCCAAATGTGAGGTAAGTAATTGGTAAATTTATTATATGTTGGTATATCACCTCCAGTAATCTTCATTAATCTATCATATGAATTAATGGAGGTTATATACCAACATATACCAACACCCAACAGTTCTTGGAGTTATATTGCCAATGATGACGATCTTTATTTTGATATACAGTAGATACTTTTTCATGGTGAACTCATGATGACCATTGTATTTTGAGGCTCCAACCTTGATGCAACCCCATTCTGAAGGGGGATGGAGGGGAAACGTGTCAGTAAGATATGGATGTTATATGGATGCTATATGGATGTGATAGATGGATAGACATTGCATGATACACACCTTTCTGAATGGGGCTAGGTGCGAGGTTTTCAACTACCATGCCGGGTTGATTGTTGCTTTATAAGGAATCATAGTAAGTTCTCGCATGACAGACGGTTGCTTTGGATGCTTGGATTGATATTTCCCCGGGATTTTGCTAACCCCCTCAGTTTACTTTTTTTGGGGGGCTGCCAATTTTACGGTAGCAATTGTAGAACACTAGTTTGGGGGTAACCTTCGCAATCCGGGTTGACATATTCCCATCTGGGCATGAAACCATGGGGGTACCCCGTACCATCATCCATTAGTTTATGGGATTTTCCATAAACTATCCAGCTATTAAAAATGCTATTGAGGTATCCATAATCCAGCTATTAAAAATGCTATCTTTTGGTCTTCGGATTTCTGGACCCCATCAGATCCCATCAGCTCCCATCCATTTTCGCCATTTTCTCCAGGACATTTTGATGTTGGACGAACTCCGGCGGCTGGCATCCGCCTGCTGCGGTCGTCTCCAGGTCTTCCATACCCTGAGCCGGTCACCGGGGGCTCGGTCCTCGCGGTCCCGGACGCGCCTGTACTTCTCGGGATGCCACCAGCATTTTCGCCAGGAGATGGAGGATATGGAGGAGGTATCCACCTGGGAAGGGCATGTGGATGAAGAGATGATGAGGAAAGCCTTCGAGATGGGATTTGGAACTGGAAAGATGACAAATGCCACGAGAATCGTGGTCTGTGGAGACTTGGTTGAGATCTCCAAGATAGTCTGAATTTGTTGGGGGTGAGAGGCTGAGAACAGTCCCCAAGTGCTGCTGACAACTCAGCTGATCATGGCAAATCACATGTGAAGGAGCTCTTAAAAAACCTCACCACCAATGGTTCTCAAAGGCAAATGATGGCAAATGTCCAGAAAATATCGCCCAGATCTCTTTTCGGATATGCCCAGATCCCCATCTGAGGACCACAGGGCCTTCTGGACACAGTTGAGGCATGTTGCTCCGTGGGCGAAGGCTTTCGTTCAGAACACTTGGTGCTGTTGCAGGCCACCAAGCAGAGTGAAGCCCCGATAGACTCCAGCGACTCCAGACACTTGGCAGATGATGGATTTCAAAGGTTGGTGGTTTGGAACATTGGTTTAGTATGGGATAATAATGGTTAATGATGGTCAATATATGGGTAATATATGGATAATATATGGGATTATAATGGGATAATCATCTTGATAATGGGATTATATACCAATAGAATAGTGGTTAATGATTGTTAATAATGGTTAATCATCACTGGTTGGTGCTTTGGATGTTTTTTTTTTTTTCATTTTTCCATATTACTTGGGAATAATAATCCCAACTGACGACCTCATATTTTTCAGAGGGGTAGGTTCAAACCACCAACCAGTGGTGATTAATGGTGATTAATGGTGATTGATAGTGATTAATCATGGTGATTGATATTGTTGGTTAATAATGGTTAATGAATGGTTAACTGATGTTATTTGATAATGGTGATTAATTGTGATTTATTGTTGATAGTGATTAGATGATTAATTGTGATTGACGGTTGATGCTGGTGATTTATTGTTAATAATGATTAATCATGGTGATTCATGATGATTAATGGATGTTCCATCCGGTGTCATCAAACATGGCAAGCTCCAGGGTATTTCCCATTGCCACTTTGGAGTACCGGAAGGTAGAAAGATACAGACGGTGATGAAGAACATGTATATCTGGTTGGTGGTTTGGAACATGAATTTTATTTTTCCATAAAATATCCCAATTGACGAGTTTGATGACGCACCGCGGGATTCTTTTGATTGTCGCTCCATCTTTTTGGGGATCAAAAGTATAGATTGAATCGATTGATTGCCCACTAAGACGATGTCGATGCTGGATGTTGTTGGATGAGTATATATATATATATATTATTACTGTATTATATAACATATAATGTATATCTATATTCATAAAATTTACATCTTACGTTTTTCATTGATTTGCACTCATTTGCCCCATCTGAAATTCACCACTCCAGATCTCTCCATGTTACAGGTCCATGTTCGCCCCTTAATCCCAGGTGAGGACGACGAAGTCGCCTCTGAGAATGTCGCCGTTGCCATTCCCAGGATCTCCATTTCAGCACCAGCACTGAAGATTCCTGCGGTCGAGGATCCCAAGGATCCCAAGGATTCCGAAGGTCCCAGCGTCCCCAGCACCCGGAAACCTGGAGATCTGCTGAAGGAACAGCTGGGCCATGCACAGAATGGGATGACTTTCGCGGATCGGGTGCGGATCGAGGCTGCGCAAAAAGTGTTGCTGGTCACATTTTTCAGCCGGTGAAGTCGGCCCTTGGACATGGACTCAAAATATGGTAAAGATATGTAAAGATAGCTTAAGGCCTCCATATCCCAACCAATTCGCCAAAGATTGTTGGAAGTTGAATTGTATGCCGATTGATTCTCTGTGTTTATCTTGGAGTGGGTGGGTTGGCGCAACTAGTGGTTGTTCATCAGCTAATCCAAAGCCATCCAAAAATACCAATTTGGGTCATGGATTCTTTGATCTCACTGGGTAAACCCGTCAAAAATACCAATTTGGGTCATGGATTCTTTGATCTCACTGGGTAAACCCGTGGTTGGTTGGTTCATGGATATTCATGGATGATGTTGTAGCCTATAGAGCCATGATTCTCCCCCCAAAAAAAGGACCTCTATGCTATGCCGAATGCCGACTTTCCATCTCACACAACACTCCCATACGTGCCTGATTCTTCCACTCTGGGTAAGCACTGCCGCAAGCTTTGTCGAGTAAATCCATGCGATTTTAAGCCATGTTTTTGAAGCATTTTTAAGCGAGTTGGTCACCCCCAACACGCCCAGCTTCAGGGTCTGCAAGGGCTGGTCCACCTTTTTGGTCTTGAAAAGCTTAGACTCGGTGCTGAAGAACATCGGCGAGGCGTTCTGCAAGGGATGCCGCAAAGATAGGGAATGATAGGGCCCTCCTGCAAGGTTTATCTGAGAGTTTCTCAGAGTTTTCAAGAGAGCCAAAGAAATCGCTTTTGTCCAGAAACAAAAGGGATTGAATATGATTGAATTACCAAAAAAATGCCTTGAAAACCATACACCACCTACTAAGGTTTACCATTTTGGTATATTTTGGTTGGATCCTGTTTTGAAACTTTCTTTGGCTTTCTGGTTGCACCATCCCATTGCCAGGCTGTGGCCATCCTGGTGATCTATGTCTTCGACGTCCTGGTTGCGGAGTCTGCGGGGGTCCTCGGTGACTGCAACGGCATGCGTCGCTACCGACCTCCAATGGTAGTGAAAGCTATGATAGTATGATTAACATCATATTACTATCATCATGATAGGATAGTTTGACTAGCTTTGAATAAGTTTTATGAACTGTCCTATCACCATATTGTTTGATATTGTTTGGAGGGAGAAGGATCCACTCAAGCTGCGTTTTAGAGGCACAGTCAACGGATATTATGTTCTGTTTTGATGTATGTTGCTGAAAGGCTTCAGTCCAGTGATCATGGAGGAGTTCCCGTCCCACATTTTTTTCGGGCCAAAAGTCTGACCAAAAATATGCATCAGTCCCCAGGCTGCAACGCTGAGTGAGGTATCTGATTTCCTGCCGGTGCACGGCAAGGAATTTCACATCTCAACGTGTCTCATGGTCGGGATCTCAGGTTTTTTGAGTGGCGGGTTTTTCTGTGGTTTCTGTACCATGTTGTGAATGTATGGATAGGAATGGATAAGATGTGATTTTATCCCCTTACTTGTGGCCCATATTTGAGACAATTTGCCTCATATATACATATATATATATATCCTTATATCAAAATTAAATAATTCATCCCAAGAGGAAGCATAAAGATCTTTGGCAGGTGAGTTACTGTATCTGAGAAAAACATATCTAAAAGAAACGCTTGAGATCAGAAGCTCTTGTTGAAACAAAGCATTCCACAAGGTGGTGCCACCCGCTGGTGTTTGTTGATTCATAGAGCCATTTAACATCATTTAACTATGGTTGTAGTATGATAATTTCTAACCACGATAAAGCCTACGTATAGTTAATCTAATAAACCAAATGCTGGAGCTCCAACTATCTTGGATTTGCAAGGGGTTGATCTTCTGGATCTTTCGGCCATCATAAGAAATGTCAGATATATGATATACGGCATGATCTGATCAGCTGAGCCAGGGCCAAGGTACAAGAACTCAATTTGCACCTCAGAAAAAATGATACTGGCTCACTGGCTCAGTTCACAATTTAAGACTCTCTGACACGCACTCAGTGTTTTTCTTAATGTTTTTCTTACTACACACATTCCATTTTGCATCCCAAAGCCTCACAGATTATGGATGTTTTTGTGGCTGGATATCACCAGGTAAATGGATGTGTTGCTGAATTATGCTGAATTATTGCAGATAGTCTTAACATGTCTTAACATGTCTTAAGCCCAGTTGTTCCCAGCTCACTTCAAGCTGAGCCTCGCCTGATATATGAGTGTTTTTGTAACTGGCTTAACATGGGTTAACCATAGTTGATGCTAGATCTATAGATGATGTTTTTTTAACCAACACGCATCGCGGGGGATGAAAGGTGCCCAAGACCTGTTCGCTTGGTGATGAAATCACCATAGACGAGGTAACATAATATATATATATATGTATGTATATATGTATGACATATATATATATATATTGATAGGTATCTGGTTATAGGGTTTAGAATCCCCAAGAACTATATAGATATATGATACTATATATATATATAGATATATGATACTATATAGATATAGGATTTCTATCATAGCCATAAACCATAGAAGTTACATACGCGGGTATTTGTACCACCTCTCCAGGTGATGGTCATCGTGCTGACAGTGGTGAGTTACACCTTGGCTCCTGCGCGGCCAGCCACCAAGTAGGTGACTGGATGGGTAAAAACTAATCCTGTAGTTTTGTCGTTCTCCATAAATGGTGTTTTCCATTTAAATGGATAATCCTGTAGTGGATAATCCTAAATGTTGTTTTCCATAAATGTCTATAAATGGAAAATCACCAACCAGCAAAAGATGACATTGTTTGACTATCAAAGATTGACATTTTGGTTTTACCAAGACATGGGACTAAACGTGATGTTAGCAAGAACTATTGGGATTAATTTCAGAAACGATAAAAAATAGATACGCGTTTCGGACAGCATTTGGAGATTAGGGGTGTTAATTTGGCAATATATCGTCAATATGCCACTTCCGCATCATCTGGGTGAATCAACGCAGTCTCACTGATGGTTGGAACTTATACAAAGTAATCTGCCCGGATGGCTTTGATAGTGGAGAAATATTCTGATTGTGGGGATAGGCAACACTTTCATATATATATATATAGAGTAAGGTGTAGAATTTGGGTGATTTGGGTGTGGTGGGTGGACTTGAGGAGTACAGCGTTTGAGAACCCCAGCAGTCTTGGGCGCAGGTCAAGTGATGTCCCAGCCTTTTGGTGAATAGCTTGGCCAGGTTTGGAGGTGTCAAACCACTTGGATGTCCCAGTAACAAGCTGGTTATATAAAAACCAGTCTGGTTAACCTTTCATATAATCCATATCTAGCATCACCCATTACCCATAGGATCCATGGTGCTGGTATATATGCTAACATAACTGGGGTATATTGATGGGATCCATGTTACCATATATAGCAGCACCATGGATCCTATGGGTTATAGTACTGGGACATCCAATATACTGCACTGTACTGTTTTACATATGGGTTATATCAATGGGACGTCCCAAAATTATTGGGTTAGAGAGCCCATACATAGCACATCATAACACTATAGCCGTGGATATGCGATTTAATTAGAACTGGGCATGATTACGGCCCACCTATGAAGTGGACCAAGATATACAAACTCAGAACTACCGGCCAGGCTCACAGATTGACATGACGGCGCGGCTAACGTCTTATCAGAGAAGTCTCACTGTTGCATGGGGTACTTCCATCTACTTTCGTGATCAGATTTGTCGTGGGAAAGCGAGCGCAAAGAGATTTCAACCTTCAAAAAGACAAAAGGTTGTAACGTCCTACTGGAATAGTGATAACTTATTTTCATTTATTTTCCATTTTTTGGGGGATTCCAAGAAAATCATCTCAGTTTGTCAACTTGATGATTTCAGCTTCATTCGCCGCATTTGCCCAGGCAACTGGCAGTGCGCAATTTTATTTGGGAAGTGTGAAATCGCCCCACAACACCAGAGGTCAGTTGTTTTTTCAGGAAAAGCAGAATTGTTGCATACCTGGGAAGTTTATTGTTATACCCAAACATACAGAGAGAGAAGAGAGGGTACCTCAGAGCAACTCAATCGGGGGATTGCCCCTTGGCTGCAAAGATTGGCCCTGAGAAGTCTTTTTGCCCCGTCGCATTTGGCGATCGGCAGTGCGAAAACAGTGGAGGGGTTCTGCTCCTTCCCACAGGCTTCAGAATTCATTTGCTCAACTATCCCTGAACACGCAAAATCCAAGATCCCAAATTCCGCCCATATATGACTTAGTTCCGTTCACGAAAAAATCCTTGGTTTGTTTCCCATGCCAATTTCCCATGCCATTTCCACTGCATTTTGGCACATCGCCTGGTGGCTGCCCAGCTCAAACAGCGTCCGCACATCGCCGGGAAGCCTTGCAGCATGAAGCCTCGATAGGTACCGCGGTGTTGCCGGCGGATGGCGCTCTCCACGGGTCCGGGCGGTTTTCGCCCGGAGCCGGGCTTTGAGGCCGAAAAGGATCCCAAGGCGCGGTCGTTTCGCCATGGAATCCCCTGGTTCTCGCCATCCAGTCGTGGACTTTGGGTCGTTGTAAGGGTTGAAAAGCCCAACATGTCAAAGATGATTGCACATTCGCGGGAATGTGCCCGAAGTTGTGAAATGGCGATGAATGATGACGAATGAAGAAACAGTCAGGTATAAATGATTGAAGGCCCCATCACATCGATCCAATATGATCCAATCATATCCAATCATATTCCGATAGTAAAGTTTGCAGCTTCACTTTCGATTGGCTACAGCCAATACCACAATTTTTCTTTTTCTTAGATATTTAAGCTCCGACAGGGGATGTTCTCTGAGATGAGGCCCCCACGGTGGCCAATGTGGACGATGAAGACGTCTCCCCGGAGATTTATTTGGGTACCTCGGCTATGGCTGGGATGCCTTCATCGGCTCAAGGTCAACGCAGTCAACGCCATGAAGATTTTAGCGACCCTGACTGGGTTGAACCATCGCCTTGTGATCCGTGACAAATATGGCCTATCCTGACTTTGCGTGTTATCCGTGACTCATTTGGATATTTTGGTTGGTAAAATTGTCACAGTTCTTCAGGACATATCTGATCAAACCCCATGGAACTCTATATAACGATATATAACGCATTTAGCTCACCATCAAGCAAGAACTAAGAGCCAGATTTGATGTGGTATGCCAGTTCAGTTGATGCTTGTGAGAATCGCATGATTCCATTGTCTTTTCCTTAAAGCCAGAGCCACTGGATGCAGCTGAGCACCGTGAAAGTGGAGGTGATCCCATTAAATGAAAAACAACCGGAGAGAAAGCGATAGCGTCCAGCTCCATTTTCCGTTTTTGCACTATCATCACCATCTCCAGTTTTACCAGCGCCACTCCTCACCTATCTACTGGGTAGCCATTCCCAACGACTTTACTTTACCAGACATGGGTGTACACCATACCGTCCCCATTGGGTGATGGTATTGAGCTTCGCACATTGGTTGATTAATTGAAAAGAAGTGGCGACCCCAGAATTAAGTACATTTAAAATCAATTAGAATCATACACAAAAACATATTGATATCTTGATATATTGTATATATATAAACACATGGCTTCAACCTAAAAACACCAATATCCATGACATAAACCTGACAAATCCCAGTTTCGCCAGTTTCTCTTCGCAGATTCTCAGCTTCCCAGCTTCGTTCGGCCCAGGTGTGGTGAAGTCGTACAACGACCGTCGTGGCTTTGGCTTCTTGGCCTGTACCGAGACGGCGGATCGCTTCGGCCGCGACGTCTACATGCCCAAGGCCCGGCCAGAAGGGTTGTTGTGGGGGCTAAAGCCATGGCTTGAACCATGGGTTGAACCATGGGTTGAACCATGGCTAAACCATGGCTAAAGCATGGTTAACCATAGGTAACCATGGGTTAACCATGGCTAAACCATGGTTAACCACAGGTTAAACCGTGGTTAGAAATATGGTTTAGCATGACTTGGAGAGATTGGATCAGTGGCGCGCCACTTTCTGAGAAATTCATGGAGATAGACTAGGAGATTTCACCAGCAAAATGACGCTGGTTTTTCATATTTCTGTGGGTTAGTTGGAGGGTAACTGGAGGGTAACCGCCATCTAATCACATATTTTATATTATATTATATAGATATATATCAATATATATATATTACTCTCTCTATATATATACATATTACTATATATCTATAAAGCAACAGGATAGCTGTATGATATTAAGTAAAGTAGTGTGTTTCTTGTTTTTGCTTTCTTTTTTTGGTTAGGAATAAATGAGAATAACAGGGTATGATTTATAATATATTACTTGACAGCCAAAGATAGTGTTTTTTTGGGTATATACATCTTGGATTTTCTGGTGGTTATTTGTTTATTGGTTTCTTTGGAAGATCGGTTTCAGATTAGGCAGTTAGGCCCATGATTCTGGAATGTGACACTGCACATCTTGGCTGGCAGGCGATGGTTGTAGCACCGCTTTGTTATACCCCAAACACGTTTGCAATCGAGTGATGACCCTGTGGTAATTTAACAGTTCGTTATTGATTTTCTCACCATGCTATGAATAGGTACATCATCTATAAATAAATGAACGTTTTCCATAGCTATGTAACAAATTACCAGAGGGTATATACCAATATATCACTTTTTCATTCTATCTGGTTGGTGGTTTGGAACATGAATTTTATGACTTTCCACATATTGGGAATTTCATCATCCCAACTGACGAACTCATATTTTTCAGAGGGGTAGGTATACCACCAACCAGCTATGTTTACATTATTAGTTAAACCATCATTATATAACCATCATTATCATCATTAGTCAAAACTAGCTAACCATCAGTTCAAACTAACCAACTAACCATCAGTATTATTGGTATTATAACCACTATTATTGAATATAATCCCATAATAAAGATAATTCTCCATCACACTTATTAACCATAGTATTTTTATAATTATTATATAATGGTTGGTTAATCACACTTGTTAACTTATAATGGGTTGGTTAACCATTATATAGCGGGGTATTATTATATTTCATCACCATTATAATAACATTAAAATATTGACCAACCATGAACTATTATAATATTATTTCACCATTATAATGGTATTATATAATCACCATTTATAATCACAAAATCCCATGATTTTTCATCACAATTATTAACCATAGTATTTTTCTAGAGGGTTTGAAACCACTATAAATGATGATTTGCATATTAACCATTATAACCAGCTATGGTTGCTTTTCATAACGTTCATCACCCATGAAAACTTCTCCCTGGCGATCCACCTCATGGCGCAGCATGGCGTTGCGTTGCGTTGCGACGTTTTCACAAAGGGAAATCACTAGGATTCAGATAGATCATTGTAAGAACATATACACATATATATATATATATATACTGTATATATATATATATATACATTGATTTCCTTCGATTGGATTCTAAAGCTGAAATTCCAGCCAAATTTTGGAACTACGATTTGTATTCAACTGATTTTACATTCAAATTCAAATCATTATTTACACAAGTGAAATTCAAATACCACACCACTTATAGGATCATACAATTCAAACATTCACCATCTTCAGATATCCTAAGGTCAGAACCAAATCTCACCATTACAGACTTAAGATACATCTTGCAACTTAAAAATCTAGACCATTCTTTTCCATATCATCATATTTTCTCCGCGTGTTCCCATCCATTTTTTTTACAATGGTTTAAAGTCATGGTAAACATGTCTTTTTCTACCACATTACCCATGACGGATCCATGGTGCTGCTATATATGCACCGTGGATCCGTCATGGGTTATCAATTGCATCATTTTCCCATTCGTTTCCCATCCATTTTCCCAGGCAGAGGCCACCATGGCGGCCCTCTTGGCCAGTGGCATCGAGCGGGAAACGGCTGTGCAGATGGTGAACTCTGGGTGCCATGGAAGCAAAATGGGTGGAAACTTCAGGATTTCCAGGATTTTCTCAGATTTCTGGGTGCCAAAAATCCTGGAAATCTACAAGATGGGGCCCCCCGTCAAACGATCGCGTTCAGTTGCCTAAAAAATATGTTTCTGAATTCTATGGTTGGTAGATATAACGAACCAGTATTCATGGGGTTTATAAACCAAATTATAACTGGGGGGATGTACGAATATCATGAAACATGGTGATTTCATTTTCAAAATTCGGGTGAATGTTTGAACAGATCATGAACTATGGTGATTTATTGGGATTTTAACGGGGATTTAATGGAACTATTGTGGACTGATGATGGATATATAATGATCTATAGTGGAAATATGGTGGGATCAACAGTATGACCTACTTCGGAATGTGGGCGACGCTGGGTTTTGCCAGCCATGTGGCTGTTTGGTGGCGTTTTTTGCCAACAAAAATGGAGATGCAACCACCAGAGAAAATATGCAGGTTTCAGTTCTTTTACTAGTGAATCCGTTACCATCAGGGACAGGAATGATAGAGCCAATGATCTATAATGAAGATGTATTGGGAACAAAAAATACCTAACCAACAATATGATTGTATGGCTCATGGGGGATTTCTCGCCAAGTGGTGGCCACTGTTGAACATTTTAGCTCTTTGGGACCATAATCACTAAATTTATAACTGGTTGGCTGGTTTGGAACTTTTTTTTTGTTTTCCATATATTGGGAATGTCATCATCCCAACTAACTAATATTTGTCAGAGTGGTAGGTCAACCACCAACCAGATAATGTTGGACCAGTTGATTGATGGGAATGATTGCCATCATGAAACATGGTTGCCCTCCGTTAATCCAACATGGCAACCGAAATGGCTGGTTTCATAGGTAGCCTGCCACTTGACCACTGGCTTGACCAGCGTAATGTTTGAGATCCTCAACTTTGTTTCGTCATTTTCCAATTCGATTATACATATATATATAGTCTATAGTACGAAGAACAATATCAAATCGTATGATATAGTTCAAACCCTGTCGTTCATGGTAAGGTTTAGAGGAGTGATTCATCAGTGGAGAATGTTGTACCCAGATTCTTTGTGGATGATGGTCATATGAGCCCCCAGTTTTGGACAAAGCCACATTGGATATGATTGGTTAGTTGTATCTATTCCATCATATCATCATTGATGAGTTTCTAATTTTATCCCATCATAAGTTCAATTAAACTCCATCAATCCAATATTCTCATTGGCAAACATCCCATTCTCCATCAACTTACTCCAATCCCCAGCCTTTTTTTTTTCGAATTTCCAATGCAATCCCATGAAATCATAAGGTTTAACACCACGAAAAACCACCCCATGTTCATGGCTGCATAGATATTATAAACCCTATCGTTGGCTTGTTTTACAGCAGATATGAATAAACGCATTGAAATATCACCTGAAGCCACCATTTTTTTGATGGGGTCCAATCCCCTTGAATCCCTATGAAGGTTTCCAGTTGTCATGGGGTACAGTACCTCCTAAATCATCCAGTTGTCATGGATGGCCATGACTTAGTATTGAAACCCATAGTGGCTTGGAGATTGGCTATTTGAAGAAAACCTGATATATCCCATTATACTGCATCATATTCTCCTAGTATCCCATAAAAATATGCCACTATTATCCTAGTACTATCCCACTAATATTTCATTACCCCATTATATTATATTAAGATTATTCCATTGTATCCCACTCATATTTCATTCATATTATCCCATGTTAATAGTTAATATGTATTTCATTACTATCCATTATATCCCATTATCATTCCATTATATCCCACTCATATTTCATGAACATCCCAGATGATGAACAAGTTGATATCCAATTAATATCCCATCAAAATCCCATTCATATCCAACAAATATCCCACAAATATATTGGGTTATGTCAATTTCCATGATATTTCCATATTGCCATTCAGTTTTCGTCCAGGACCACCAGTAGCGCCGCCTGCAGCGCGGCGCTTCAAGCGCAGCCCAAGGGCCCAGCAGCTGCCATGGCGGCGGCCACGGCCAACGACCGGAAGGAGGAAGGGGAAAAGTCCTCGGCCCCACGTGGCGTGGTGGGAAAAAAAGATGGTACCCTCTGGTTATGTCAAAATAGCTATTGAAAATAGCCATATATAGTGGATTTTCCCATTAAAAGTGGTGATTTTCCATAGTTATGTTAGTTTACCAGAGGGTACGTCTTTCTATGGCAGATTTTGATGGGATATAAATGGGATATCAACATGTTCATCATCTGGGATGTTCATGAAATATGAGTGGGAGATCATGGAATGATAATGGGATAGATAGTAATGGAATAACCATGAGTGGTATAATGTTGATATATTGAATATATTTCATGATATTTGGAATATATTCCTGGTCAATCATTGTTAATCATGGTGTGAAAATCCATAGTGATTATCGAAAAAAAACTAATGGGTTTGAAAATAGAGTGTTCCCCTAAATCCAGTGGTTCATCATCATTTGTCCTATGAAAAATAGTACCCTCTGGTAAATTAACTTGTTGACCCTGAAAATAGCCTAGTTTTAATGGAAACTAATCTTCCAACCCCGATGACTGCCAGGGTCGAACTGTTAATTTACCAGAGGGTACTATTTTTCAGGGCTATTTGGGAGGTATACCTTCTGGTAAACGTTTACAGTTTGCGAAGTAGAACATCAGCATCTTTAATAGGTAAATCAACTAATTATCAAATGGTCTATTTTCCACAGCTATGTTAAATTATCAGAGGGTGTTTGGAATGTATTATATATGTCGTTAATCATGGTCAATGGTTGATGATTAATGGTGGTTATATAACAGGTGGTTATTGACAAAACAATGGACATTACTGAGTATGTGAATTATCTATGAATGTTATGGAATTATGGACATTTGTTATGGCAGTTTTCAGATTCAGTAATGTCCATTTGTTATATATGACAATGAACTTTACTAATGGACATTACTGAGTGTGTTTGAAATGATCTTACAAAAGAAAACAACAACAAATGGAAGATATGGCATTCAAGTTATCCTCATTATATATATATACTAATAGTACTTAAACATAGTTATATATCTATTTATATATGTCATATGTGGATTATCTTGCTAATATGTGCTAATCATGTTTCAGCTTCTAATGATGGGATATTCTATGATATTCTATTTTTTTGGCAGGATTCATGATATGATTCTGAAACTTGATGATGAGATATGATATGGATTGTCTAGATGCCCTGTGGGAATGATTACGGGAATGATATGATAGAAATATTGTGCATTCAATGATGTACCAACATGTGTTGGGAATATGACAATGGGAATCGATAGATAGTTTGACGATGTTTGACTACTGAACTTGATGTGATATGGATACGAAGGGCTTAACATGGTTTAAACATCAAAGAATGGGGATCCATATAACATTAAAGATGGGATATGGATGGAACTGGGATGGGGGGAGTTGTTAGTAAGTGAGATCAAAGTTGTTTTTTTTGCGACCAACACATGTGGGGGTTCAAGGAACAGACATGAAAACACATATTTTAAGATCTGATTATTGACTTTGCAATGTGGCATAGATGTCGTTTTTTTCCACTGGTTGATGAAAATATAGGGGCCTCCTCCTTCTTTCACAACCAAATCGGTGGTGATAAATGGTATCCCAGCAGCTGGGTACTCAACTCTCGGAGATGGGCAAAAATCCCCACTGGATACGATGGAAGATGGAGATTGAAGTAGCTCTTCTATTGGGATTTCACGAACCAACTGGAATTGAAGCAACAATTCCATGGATGGCACTGGGACTAAGTTTTTTTCTGTGTGTTTTTGTATTTCTTTCTTTTCAAGGTATGTCAATGTGGACTAACCTGTAAAGTTAATAATTCCGTAGGCCACCTTTTTTCGTAGGAGTATGACCAGCTGATGGGACTGGGAGTGAACGCAGTTTTTTTTTTTTGAAAGTCATGAGGGTACCCCCAAATCATCCAAGTCATGGATGACCATACGGATGACAGTTTTAGTATTGAAAACCATGGTGATGACTGGGGATTCCCTATCTTAGGACCCCCCCGCCCTCATTGATTATAGATTCATCGTTAAACCAGATCACACATTGGGATTTCAATTGACCAACGGTGTCAATGGATTACTATAGCAAGTCCCCATTCAGAGATGAAATAAGCTGAAAGAACTCGATTTGATTCTTCACCAACAAAGGGGTCTAAGTAGATTCTTCCAACCCAAGATGAACTTAAACCGATCATGAATTTAGGCAACATTTCAAATCACTGGCAGAATCACTGCACTTCAACACTTTGGTTTTGTTGATCGTGATCCACTAATAATGAGGTTGATACATCTCAGCCACAGGGGAATGAAGGGACAATTCTGCAGGACCAATGGAGGTGGCTTAAAGCCTGGACTGTCCAGAAAGGGGATATGTCCTTCAAAGAACATGTTCTATGGAAAAAACATAGTTTCAACCATCATGTTTTGGTATCCATATTTCAGACAATACAGTATTGATGACCGTTTATCAAAGGGAAAACATATGGAATATGGGATGTGATTTATGATTAGGGTAAACACCATGGTTTCTAAACCACATTTGCAAATGGGGAACATCATTTTTGGACCGGTTTCGACCGGCCATGCCTGGCTCACCCTCTTTGATCTGGCCAGCTGGCCAGCTTTGGGGAAAGGATGTGACCGATGTGACCGATGTGACCTGAGGTCTAGCAGAAGAAGACTTGGTCTTCTTCCGTGTACGACTGAGTGTGGAAGGACGATGTTTGCCACGATGTTTGGCCACATTTTGGTGCTGTTGATTTCCTTGGGACAAAATCATAGGTTTTACTAAGCACGCCAGAATAGTACAAATATTTGAAAGACATCTGTGATAAGCCCTGCAATCCACATCATCACTAGCTGTTCACTACACTTTGACCTCACTGGCAGTGCCAGATCTTCAATGCAGCGCCGTCCTGCCGTGCTTTGCCACTGCCAGGATATCCCCAGGCAGTTTGTGTGCAACGTCTACACAAGCTCACTGGCAGTGTGGTCCGTCCACCCTCAGGGCACAGTGGCATCATCAAGAGTGAGGAGGTGGGGAGCCTCGGGAGCCTCAATTGGGAGTGGTTTTTGACCTGTGGCGCCAAGTGTTGGAGGGTGTGAATTGAAGATGGTGGTGTGTTCCTCCTTGAAAAATCCCTCAGATGCACTGAAAATCCATCCCTAGTTGGTGTTCCAATTGTCCTTCTTCGAATCACAGCTAGAGCCCCCAGAGACATTGCTCAACCCAAGGCAGTGGCTGTGTGTGGGCAAAGAGAGGCCACTTGCTTGCAACTGCTAGCTTTTACCCAAGCAATCATATGGGATGTAGCATGGTGTAACCTATATTTTCAATGGAAACATTCCCAATCCACAACCGATTTTCATAAGGGACTATTTATATAGTTGGTGAAATGTCCACATCGATGTGGGTATGGATCGAAAAAGGGCACATCCAGAACTGGATGGTTGGTTGACTGCAATGACCATCATGCGCGGTGGGGGAGAGTCAGACTTTGGTCCAAACAGCCGTATGTTTTCCATATATATGATTATATGATACATCCATATACATCCCCAATGAAGTATTTGTTGTGTCCTCACTCATGCGTTCTTGCTTGAACCCCAGTTTCATCCAGTTTCTTTACTTGCCAAACTCCGTGCACTTGGTTGGTGAATACATCGTTTACGGCCAGTGAAGCCGTTTGTGAATCACAGTTGCCTCGATTTTGATATGATGGAAGTGATAAGATCTACCCGAAACATCTTGCCATGTCGTACAATGCTTGATATTGTAATAATAATTTCACATGACATCGCTGAACTTCATGTCAGATCAGTACCTTATGTTTTTTTTCTACCTGGCTGATGTTTGAGTAAACCTGATTCATATTCCATTCAACATATATTCCAATCGCAATCCCAAAAAATCCTCATCATATTCCAAATATGAAATATGACACACACACATATTCACAATCATGTATTTTTTCAATCTTTATCCATGTCCTAGAGAGAATATGTCGAATGATTCCTTCCGCAAACAAAAAACAACAATACGGAAAGCCCGCAGTTTGGCATTTCTGGTGGGTTGTCCATATCTATGTATTATGGCATAATTTGCTGGAGGGCATCATTGCTTATGATTTTATTATACCATTATTAACACGTATTTCAATCATGATAATGATTATAGATCATCTACGTACTTGCATGACCGGTATATAATGATTACAGTCCATGATTGATACTCAACCATCAATTACAGTATCAACTATGATCATGGTACTCAATTGTTGACAAACATCATGAACATATATCATGGTTATTTGTTTATAGCCACATCGAGCTATAGGTATATCTCTACCTAGACAACTGGCTGTAGTAAACCGACCTTGTTGTTATTTCAAGCAACAGAAACCGACCAAAACCTGGCTGCACCTTGGGACAATGATGGTACCATCTGGTTATTTAACATAGCCATGGAAAATGGCTATGTTAGTCATAACCAGATGGTAGCTATTGTGGCTGCCATGGTTTCATGGGGATGGGTCAAAACCTATAACTGAAACCCGAGAAATCCCATGGCCATGGCCCAAGGTGGCCTTCGACCACCTTGCGGCCGGGCAACTCCGTGCCGTGCCTGGCGACGTCGTGACCTTCTGCATTCCCGAGGTCATCAGAGGGGATGGATTGTGAAAACTATCACAGTGGTCCTTCAGTGTTTTTGTGTTTTTATGTTTTTTTGTTGCGGAGGCTGATGTTTTGTGCTGTTTTGAGGTGTGGTGTTGGTGAATTTGGGTGTTTTCTGCATCTTAGAAGTGTGTTTTTGTTGCCAGCGGGATTTCAACAAAAGGATTTGATCTGAAATCATTTGCAGATCTGTAGGTATGGCACTAAGTTGAGATGCATTAGGAACAAAATCAACCATATACCAATATTATATAATATTATCCAATATTCATGAGCCCTGGGGTACGTTTTATATGGTTTTATATATTCCCTATCCCCCATCCAACATGCGAAGATGGCTTGCCACATCAGGTGGGATCCTGCTGTTACTCACAACTGACTGAAAGGAGCATGGTCGTCGCAACAGGATGGTTCTACCCTACATATATATATATACACATACGTACACATTACGATATATATATATATGTTTTACCCTATATATAATATAGTGTATATATATATATATATATGTTTTACCCTATATATAATATAGTATATATACATATATATGTTTTACCCTATATATAATATAATATAATACAATATAATACAATATAATACAATATAATATAATATAATATAGTATAATATAATATAATATAATTTAATATAATATAATATAATATAATATAAGATAATATAATATAATATAATATAATTATATATATGTATATGTATATATATATATAATATAATATTATATTATATTATATCGATATATTGCCACTTGCGTATATTTTTTGTCCAGGGTTATCGGATTTACGGGCTTTAAGCTTCCAAATGTTCCAGCCGGACGTGTCCAGGCAGAAAGCAAGATTGGCGTCCAAATGGTGGCACCACCAGTAGATCCTCACGCCAGAATGGTGCCTGGGCCATGTTGGAATGTAGCGAATGTAGCCTCTGGCAGAAAGCAATGGCAAAATCCATGAAAACCATAATTCTTAGATATTTTGAATAGGTAACTTCAAGTATAAACAGATCATCTTCCATAGTTTGTTTCTTTGCAGATTCCATGGTGCTACATGGTACTTAAACCCAGATCCCTTGGGAATTTCGACATCCTGTGTCGGTGGGCTTGATGTCTTGATGTCAGGTGTGCTTAGCATCTACGGAACGCCCCCAGGGCACTGTCTTGGGCTGCTTCACTCTGGATTTGCCCCGTACCCGAAGCGATGAGGGTCCAGCCGCATGGGAGGCACCAAATCTGCACCTGCCTTGCCACGCCTTTGGCGACAAATTGGTCTTGGCGGGATTGCCATCGGAATCATGGATGTTTTTGTTTGGGTCTGGATGGATGTCTGACAGGATCATTTATGTTGGATCATGTTGGATCAAAGTTCAAGATGGGAATCAGAGATTTTGATTAGTCAGTAGTCCTTCCGTGATTTTGAGGAATTCAACTTGCTCTTTTTTCGCCTCCCTGAGTCCCTAAGAGTTGGACCTGAGGATTTGGATGAAGCCGAGTTGCTGAAGTTCTTCTCCAAGCAGGGCGCCAACACGGCCATTGTGGCGCACGCGCGCACCTCGTCCTTCGCCTCGATCACCTTCCCAGGAACCCCCGAGGTGGCGCGGTTCCTGAGCCGCGTGGCGCATGCCTACGCGGATGAGAAGGGCACGTTGATTGCCAGGCTGATGCCCAAGAAACTGGACATGGAGCAGATGCCCACCCTACCGGCCTTACCTGCACCCAACCTCTCCACCAGTACCATGGTCAGATGGTGGACGTTTTTGAGGTCTAGAGTGCTATAGCTATATTTTTATATGATGTATTGAAACAAATGAACACATCTGTTGAAAAAAGGTAAAATTGTCCTTTCAATGGAGTTATTGCACGCCTTGGGTCTAATTTATTGGTGATTTGTTGCGTTCCCATTTATTAATCTACCATGACTAGAAAATCTACTGGGGAACAGGCAATGAAGATAGTTGAAGCATGGTATCAAGGTGTGGCCCCCCAATGACCACAGTTGGTTTCAAAACCCATCTACACTATAGATATATCCACCATACATCCAATCGTCAACCCGCTCCCAATATCAATAAGCAACATCCACCAACCATCCTGATTGTTGATGGTCACATATCTGTTTGAACTATAACTTAAATCCACATTCTTGTTGGTTCAATTATATGTTTACCTTAAATGAATCTTAGATTCACCTGAAGTAAAACGCACATAGCTCCTGTGTTATTTTCGCGCTGTTTCGCGCCTCGTTGTTCCCAGGTTCAGCTACCGGGGAGGACTTGGACGCAGGAAATTTGATGGTGACATGGTCCCCCCTGGTCTTGGCCGTGGGCTACACAGTCGAACTGCGACCGGTGAATGTCGGCTCCAGTAGCTCCAGCTGGCTCTCTGTGGATGTGACCTCCAAAAAGCTGGGCTGCTCCAGCAATCGCTTTGATTTCAATTGTTCCAGTTGTGTGGTGAACAGCTTCTTGAGCCAATCTTTGGAGTGAATTGAATCGTTGTTTTTTTTTTTTTCGGATGTCCAAGACCAACTACATGTTAACGTAAATGTTTTTTTTTGTGTGTAAATAAAATTTACATGCGGATATCTTTTTGGGTAAATCTAGGTAATTGCAGGTAACATGTACCACACGTATATTGTTCGGGGTGCTCGCCCTTGCCAAGTTGGAAGTTACTCTTTGAATCGAATAACTTCCCAGATTGAGGGCCTCCCTCCGGAAGTTGTTGATCCTCTTTTGGAAGGCTTCCCAGAAAATCCTGTTAATATGTTCTCAAGCAGAAAAGAGTAAAGTAGATTGAACAGATGTGGAGTTAGCGTTGAATAGTGTTTGAATGTAAGAAGCACGAGACTGTGGCCAAGCACCCTGCAAGGGTTCCATTCCTAGAGTCCCAAATTTCCACTTCTTGCATTCCGTCCATAAGATCCTACAAAAAGATACAAAAAGTATAAGATGTAATTTACCTAGTTTGAGTTGAAGCAAATTTGACCCATATGCTATAGCACCATGATTTTGATTCTTTTCCACCAGAAGATTTTTGTTCGCGCTCATCTGCCAGGTTTGCAGATTGGCACCGCCTATGAAGCACGTGTCTCCTACTTCACGGACTGCAACACCATGTCCGAAGCGTCTGACCCCTCCAAGCCGTGTCTGCCGGCGCAGGGGAAGGACGACGTGCCGGGCACCGTGCCCCACAGCGTGCCGGTCACGTCATCGGCGCCAGCGGCACCACCAGCGCCGGTCAGTGTGTCCAGCGGTCCCAATGAAGGAGTGGGCGAGAAAATGTCGAAGGTTCTGTGGATAAAAGGTAAGTGGACTTGAAGTGGACTTTAAGTAGACCATATAGTTTTGCTTCCCTTTTTGAGCCCGAACGACTACTTCAGCACTCATGATTCAGATTTGACGCTGCCAATTATATACTTGTGAAAGCAGTTGAGCCGGAACTACCCCGTTTCGGAGAGTTTGAACACCAGAACAGAATGCTTCTTCATTAGATGATCTAGTTCATTGTGGCTTCCCTGTGGCCAGGATATTCCAAACCCTTCAGCAGTACCATTTCTTTATCCAAATCCTTTCCCCCACCGAGTGTCCCTCCCCCTGCGCCCCTGCCGGCGCTGCCGCCCGGGCCGTCGCTGCCGGGCCTGCCTGGGCCGACGCCCTTGCATCATCCGCCACCACATCTGCACCCGCCACTGCCGGCACAGCCGCCATGGGCGTGGCCTGGGAATGACGTCTATCCACCACCTGACCCTGCCCTTGGACCAGGTGGGGGTTGAGTTAGCACCCTTACATCTATAGATCAGGTACCACTCATGGACAGTATAGTTGTATATACTTGCTGTGAATGATTTTTGAATATGCATGCTTAGATCCGCAATGAATAAGACAAGTCAATCATTTTTGTTGGGCTAAAGCGGCTTAAATCCCAATTATTGATGCTTAACATCCGCCGTTTTCCCATGCAGAATGATATGTTTTGTGCTTGAATCTGCGTGTTAAGCCATGTTAGGTCCCCATGCAAATTTTGATGAGTCAAAGGCCATATTCTCTTTGTGAAAGCATCATTTTTGCTTGCGTGCTTGCGTCAGCCTTTTCCATTCCTGATCCTGCTTTTTCTTGGCTAAACCACACGTTTTTTGATGCTTCCGTCATGTCAAGTTCCTCATTTGTGATGCTTTAACGCATTTTTACCTGGGTTTAACCACCATTTTTCACCTGTTTCAGGCTGAAAGTGGCCACATGTGGCCATTGTTCGTCCTTTCCCCGTGGCACCGCCAGGCTTCTCGGGTCCCTCATGGCGTTCGCCCAGTGGCCTCGTTGTGCCGCCGCCGCCCGCGCCCGAACTGCATCCGGAGGACGAGTATGGCTTCGCCCTGTCAGTAAGGCCGGGAGTCCTAGCAACCAATGGATATCATTAATGGTGATTCAATAGGGATATTAATGGTGATTTTATGGTGATTAACCCTCTGGTAATGGAATATGAATGGCTGATTGGTGGTTTGGAACATGACTTTTTAATGTGATAATGATGGTTAATGATGGTTAATGATGACTAATAATGATTAATAATCACTGGTCGGTGGTGACTGGAACCATGTTTTTTTTAATGACTTTCCATATATTGGGAATTTCATCATCTCAACTGACGAACTCCATGATTTTTCAGAGGGGTTGAAACCACCAACCAGTTATGGTCAATGAATGTTGGGAAATATGATATTATGGTCACTAACTCATGACATAATGAATATTGTGATGATTATAAGTTGGGATATAAATATGACATTATGGTTGAATGATGGTTAACTCATAGATGGTTGACCAATGTCATGATCATGATTATGATACATGTATATCATGAATATTAGTGATGGCTCATGATGTTTGAACTGGTAGTTGCTGGCGGGTCCACAGGTCGCCTGGCCTGTTTCTTTGTTTTGGGGGGGGGGGGTGGGGGGGGGGGTGGGTGGGGGGGGGCGTAATAACGTTCCTTTTGCTGCGTTCGCTTGGACTTTTTTTTTGTTACCTATTTTTATGTTACGCTTGCAGGCTGCCGCATCATCTTTACGCAACACGTCGTGCTTTCCAAGAAAGCTGGAACACAAGGGGGTGGAAGGGGGGGGGGGGGCGTAATAACGTTCCTTGCTGCGCGTTCGCTGAAATGGCCGAGCCCAGCACAGTTCTTAAAACAACTGGCAAAGTTGCAAGGAAAAAAATTGTAGCGGCGTTAGTTTTCAGGATGGTGAAAACTTGCCACCTTTGCCTGACGTCTGATTTCCAATGGGCAAAATACCTAAATGATGGTTTCGTAACCAGGCGACTCATGGACCCGTGACCTGATAGTTAGTTATGACTAATGATGAAAATGATGGTTATATAATGATGGTTTCACAAATAATGTTGGTAAAGCAATGCCATAAACCACCCATATATTGGAACGGATTAGACTATACCAGCTATAAACATGGTGATTTGGGAGATAGTAAAAATTGTCGTTTTACCCACATTTTTATGGGGCCTAACATCCCACTAAAAAAGATATCCCCAATTTTTTAGTGGAAACTAGTCTTTCAACCCCTGTCTGCCAGGGTCTATGTTAATTTACTGGAGGGTAAGTGCTGTACATTTTGTCCCATTATTTTCCCATTATTATCCCATATTATCCCACTGTAGGGTCCCTTGGTGCTGGCGTTTTCGAAGGTGGCCTGCAGTGCTTCAAGCGGCTGCGTATGTCGTCGAACTTCGGGAGGTTCCGGTCGTCATCAGACATGGCTTGCTGGAAAATATCATGAAATATCCAATATCCAATTTTATATATATATAGTTATATATATATAGCTTTATATATATATATCCAAATTTTATGGATGATTTTCCCAATCAAAGATTTTGAAATATCCCATATCCCATTTCTTATCCCATTGATGGGTGATTTTCCCAGCGACCTTCATTTGGAGGGAGGATTTCCCATATGACACGGGATGACAGGGCTATCTCTCAATGGGACGACCATAGCCCGAACATCGAAGGTGAAACAAACCCCTTTTGGTTATATATATACACTGTCCCTGTATACTATAATATATATATATATATATATCTACACATAATAATAATGATAATAATGTATAATATGTATATATATAATATAGATATTAATCATATATATATATAAATACATTTATATATATAGATACTGGGCTTGATTTAATAATCCATGAACTGGAAATCCCCATGAACAAGGCAGTGTAGAAAGGTACACCATGTCGGGTTTTGAACACTGTTCAATTATTGCCCACAAGTGGCAAGATCTCATGTAGTCACCGTCCTTATCACTTTTCCCTATCAGCATGTTCCCTATTATAAAGTGGATTGAAGAAATCCTGCACCAGCTGATAGGTGGTTTATCCTATTATTTGTAGGGTTTTAAGTTTTAACCATCCTTTTGGTGGTACAGGATTTCGCAACCATCCACAGCATGTTCCCAACCTTTTTCAAGAGACGGAGGTTTCCCAAGTCGTGGGGGTACCCTGCCTTAAATCATCCAATTGATTGCCGGATGTTCCATCATTTTTACCATCCAGCTATTGGGGTATCCCATGCATGGAAACCCCCATACTATGGATGGTATAAGTTGGTTTGTAAAGCCCATCAACTATGCTTATATCTACCATAAGCCATCTGGTTGGTGGTTTGGAACATGAATTTTATGTTCCATAGTATATGGGATAATCCTTCCCAACTGACTAATACTTTTCAAGATGGTTAAAACCACCAACCAGCCATAGTTAAGCTACTTATTCTAGTTACTATGCTTATATCTACCATATCCCATGTTCCTATCCACAGGTAGGCTTCTGATCGCAGGCGGATACCACGTCCTTTGAACGCTTTGTGAGATCTGCACCGGAGGTGGAACTCATTGGGCATATCTCCCAAGGAAACCGTTATCAGAGAAGAGATCCAGATTCTTAAACATTTTCGCGGACTTACTTATACAACTTATATTATTGGTTGGTGGATTGGAACCACGGAATTTTATGACTTTCCGTATATTGGGAATAATAATCCCAACTAACTTTCATATTTTTCAGAGGGGTTCAAACCACCAACCAGATCATATATATATATATATATATATCCAAAATCGGACTTAATTATATATTTCCAAAATCTTCCAAAGCTAATTCAGATCCAGCATTTCTAAAGTATGAAAAAGAATCGTGCAAATAGTTAAAGGTTTCATAGTATCATGTTCCAATAGTTTGTTTCAATCGATTTCCAATAATATTCCAAGAATACCCCAATTTGTCACAATTCGTGATGATATCATTATGCATTATTTAAACCATCATTTTCCAAGAATCCACCACACATGATCAATCATCAGTAATCATGTACAACATATGCAATATCTACAAACTCCTTAAAAAAATGTAAATAATTTGTTCCAATGTACAGTATCATGTTCATGAAATATCTAAATATCTACAAACTACTCTAAAATATTATTGCAATGTTAGATATGTACAATATTGTTCAAACTACAAATGTAGATATGAAGGTTTCCTGAAATGGGGGTACCTCCAAATCATCCATATTTTTAGGATATTCCATTATAAACAAACCATTTTGGGGATCCCCCATTTACAGAAACCTCCAAATGTAGATAAGTGGTTTATAAACCATAAGTGTAGATATATCTACCAAGAACCCATAGTTATTGGAGTTATTGAAACCAACTTAGCTAACATTTTGGGGGCACCACCTAGTAGATATGTACAATAATGTTCAAACTATACAAATGTCATAAAGTATCCCCACTTAAATAGTTATAAATAAAGATCCCACAAGATTGTTCCCACAGATCTGGGTAAATCAACATATTTCATTAACCTGAATCTTGCGGCTGGGGATGATTCCTCGCAATCTAACCATGATTCCAGTGAGGGAGAACAGTGAGGTCGTTATAATTTACTCAGACAGATGGATTGTTTCTTTCTCATAACTATCAAAAATCACCATGTTCAATGGGTAAATTTACTATAAATCACCATTTTCAATAGCAAACTGTTGGTTTACCAGAGGCTATATATAAAATGGTCTCATCTTCAAATCATTTCCAGGCCAAGTTAGGCACCCTGGTGGAACTGCGGGTGGGCGGCTTGCGGCCCGGCCCCCCACCGGGGCGGATCTATATGGCGCAGGCGTGAAGATGGGAACCCGAAGCTGGTGAACTAAGACGACCTGAGGATGATACATAGCTATGATAGTTACCCTCTGGCAATGATAGGATTAGCTATGTTTACATATGGTTTATGATACAACTATAGTTGATGGGATTTATAATCCAATTTACCCTCTGGTAATTTGTTACATAGCGAACTGGAAAATGGCCATAAAAATAGCTGAATTTACCCATTAAACATGTTGATTTTCCATAGCTATGTTAGTTTACCAGAGGGTATCCCCATTTGTCCTTTTAATTAAACCATTTGAATCATTTGAACACCCTTGTGACTTGCTTTTCAATACCAGTTTTTTCCCGAGAGCGTCTGAGCGCAGGGTTCTTCCAATAGTGGGGGTCTGTAAAACATCTTCTCATCTTCACATCTCATCTTCACATTCTCTCATCTTCTCATCTTCACATTCTCTCATCTTCACATCTTCTCATCATCTTCACATCTTTTCATCTTCACATCCTCTCATCTTCACATCCTCTCATCTTCACATCCTCTCATCTTCACATCTCATCTTCACATCCTCTCATCTTCACATCTTTTCATCTTTGCATCCTCTCATCTTCACATCCTCTCATCTTCACATCTGCTCATCTTCACATCCTCTCATCTTCACATCCTCTCATCTTCACATCTGCTCATCTTCACACCTTCCCATCTTCACATCTGCTCATCTTCACACCTTCCCATTTTCACATCTTCTCATCTTCACATCTGCTCATCTTCACATCTGCTCATCTTCACACCTTCCCATCTTCACATCTGCTCATCTTCACACCTTCCCATCTTCACATCTTCTCATCTTCACATCTGCTCATCTTCACATCTGCTCATCTTCACATCTGCTCATCTTCACACCTGCTCATCTTCACACCTTCCCATCTTCACATCTTCTCATCTTCACATCTGCTCATCTTCACATCTGCTCATCTTCACATCTGCTCATCTTCACATCTGCACATCTTCTTATCTTCACACCTGCTCACCTTCTCTCTCACGCCTTCTTTTTATCTTTCTCTCTTAAGGCCGAGGGTGGTGCCGGCGGCGAGTCACGAAACGTCAACCCTTTCGCACGAAATGAGGGTCGATCGGCAAAAACTGGGGTAAAATTGCGATTTGACTTGTCCTGGAGCAACCTTTTCGCACGAAATGATGGTCGATCGGCAAAAACTGAGGTAAAATTGCGATTTGACTTGTCCTGGAGCAACCCTTTCGCACGAAATGAGGGTCGATCGGCAAAAACTGAGGTAAAATTGCGATTTGACTTGTCCTGGAGCAACCCTTTCGCACGAAATGAAGGTCGATCGGCAAAAACTGAGGTAAAATTGCGATTTTACTTGCCCCGGAGCAACCCTTTCGCACGAAATGAAGGTCGATCGGCAAAAACTGAGGTAAAATTGCGATTTGACTTGTCCTGGAGCAACCCTTTCGCACGAAATGAGGGTCGATCGGCAAAACTGAGGTAAAATTGCGATTTTACTTGCGCCGGAGCAACTCTTTCGCACGAAATGAGGGTCGATCGGCAAAAACTGAGGTAAAATTGCGATTTTTCGTGTGCTGGAGTAACCCTTTCGCACGAAAAGGGGTTTGTGTGTACGAGCGTTTCTGTGCAAAGATGTTTGTGTGTAAAAGTGTTTGTGTGTACAAGTGCATCTGTGTAAAAGTGTTGTGTGTAAAACCTTCTGTGTGTAAAAGTCTTTGTGTGTAAACGGGTTTGTGTGTACGAGTGTTTCTGTGTAAAGAAGTTTGTGTGTAAAAGTGATTGTATGTAAAATTGCATCTGTTTAAACGTGATTGTGTGTAAAAGCTTCTGTGTGTACAAGCGTTTGTGTGTAAAAGCAGCTCCTGTGTGTAAAAGGGTCTGTGTGTAAAAGTGTCTGTGTGTAAAGGCTTCTGTGTGTAAAAGTGTCTGTGTAGAAGCGTCTGTGTGTAAAAGTGTTTGTGTAAAAGTGTTTGTGTGTACAAGTGCCTGTGTGTAAAAGCGTCTATGTGTAAAAGCTTCTGTGTGTACAAGCGTTTGTGTGTAAAAGCAGCTCCTGTGTGTAAAAGGGTCTGTGTGTAAAAGTGTCTGTGTGTAAAGGCTTCTGTGTGTAAAAGTGTCTGTGTAGAAGCGTCTGTGTGTAAAAGCTTCTGTATGTAAAAGCTTCTGTGTGTAAAAGCTTCTGTATGTAAAAGCTTCTGTGTGTAAAAGCTTCTGTGGGTAAAAGCTTCTGTGGGTAAAAGCTTTGTGTGTAAAAGCTTTGTGTGTAAAAGCGTCTGTGTGTAAAAGTGTTTGCGATGCAAACTATTGTCTTGCACTTCTCACTATTTTGTCTTGATACTCCTCTTCTCGACTGCCTATAACACAGCTTTCATATATCGTTTCTAATATCGCGTCTCCATACTAACAAGAGAAGACCCTGCTCCTCTACGCTCTCGGGCCATCCGTCGTCTAGTTTTTGGGCTATTTCTGGAAGTTGACTCTAGGAAAGTGATATGGAGGGTAACCGCAAAAATGGAGATTTCTCCCAAGACAACAATCATATTATATGGTATATGAGGAAATGAAGCATCATGGTAAAATCATGAGATCTGGTTATTTAACATAGCCATGGGAAATGGCCCATTTATAGATGGTTTACCTATTAAAAATGGTAGTTATATAAATATTTCCACCTCTGCACCTAGAAATTTCTTCCCTCCCAGGTGCGCACCGTGGGTCACGACGGCTGGGAGTCGCTCCCCTCCCCGCCGGGCTTCTCGGTGCCGCTGCCGCCCGAGGACGGTCCGGCGGCCTCCAACCTGTCGGCGGATGCGCCTGCGTGGCAGCCGGGGCTGGGTGGGCTGGCTCAAAGTAAGGACGGCTGTCAAAGTGGGCTTTTTTGACATCCCAAATTCTTCAAATCCCCATGAAATCACCATGAAATCCCCATGATTCCTTGCTTTGCAACATCTCTCCAGGAGGAGAAATGGTGGCCACCAGCAGTTCTGTCGAGTCAAAGTACCGATCCCTCGGAGCCCGCGAGGTGCCGAGAACGTAGGGTCATGTAGGGTCTATTTCAGGGATATGTGGACGGGTCAAACCCTAAGACCTAATATGACTTGGGGAATCAACATCATCAACATCCATAATTCCCAGCTATTTTTTAGAGAGTACCTAGGGTGCCTTAAAATTTGACAAACAAATCGACTCATAGCGAAAAATATCTGAGATTTTTTAGCAAGGAAAATATGGTTTCCAATAGCTCAATTGGTGAACATACCTGCTGAAAGTATCTATGAGTAGGGTACCGGTATATGGTAGATATATCGAACTGGTTTTGATGGGGTTATAAACGAACTTAGAACTGGACCCCCTCACCTTGTAGCAATCATGCAGTAATCATAAATGGACTATTGTATGAGTCATGATAGAGGAATCATATAGTTCTTAGTTTCTTGGTCGACTTGATTTACTCATGAGCATGTAGTTGGCACACGCCGCATAGACGGCCGTGTGCCTTTCACCATTTCTCAACATTTTCCAGGGTTTTGGCACGAGGTTGATACTACGTCCACGAGGGTCTGTAGTCTGTGGGTGGGGTGGGGTGGAGCATGTTAACGTTCCTTGTACGTTGCACACGTTGTTGATGTTCCGCAACTGCCACGATGTGGGGCAGGGGCTGGGGTGGGGTGGGGCATGTTAACGTTCCTTGTGCGTTGCAGACGTTGTTGATGTTCCGCACCTGCCAGGATGTGGGGCAGGGGCTGGGGTGGGGTGGGGCATGTTAACATTCCTTGTTGATGTTCCGCACCTGCCAGGATGTGGCCTTGTACGTTGCACACGTTATTGATGTTCCGCCACTGCCAGGATGTGGGGCAGGGGCTGGGGTGGGGTGGGGCATGTTAACGTTCCTTGTACGTTGCACACGTTGTTGATGTTCCGCACCTGCCAGGATGTGGGGCAGGGGCTGGGGTGGGGTGGGGCATGTTAACGTTCCTTGTACGTTGCACACGTTGTTGATGTTCCGCACCTGCCAGGATGTGGGGCAGGGGCTGGGGTGGGGTGGGGCATGTTAACGTTGCTTCTACGTTGCACACGTTGTTGATGTTCCGCAACTGCCAGGATGTGGGGCAGGGGCTGGGGTGGGGTGGGGCATGTTAACGTTCCTTGTACGTTGCACACGTTGTTGCACAATAGTTTCGGAACTCGTGTTTCAATGTGCTTGGCGACAGCACGAAGGACCCATGTCACCAACTCAGTTCTTCACTGCACTGCAACGTCTCCTGAAACATTGAAAAAAATGGGATGAAACGAAGATAAACAGATGTTCCTTGCAAGAAGTGCTGATGAACAAACGTCAGTGCGAGTTGCAAAAAGTGACCGAAACGCCACGGCCGTCTGTGCGGCATGTACCATGTAGTTTATAGTTATTTTATGGTTTCGAGAAAACAGTTTTACTTGGTTTTGTAAATGCCGCTAAGAATAATCATTGTCATAGATATTTCACGGTTATTAATTAATAGTTACAATAGCAACTCTTACTAATAATCTAAGCTACTACCAACGTTGAATAATAATACAATGGAGATATATTGTGTTCCTTTTTTGATGGGATTTACTAGTAATCATACGTCAGAGTTGTTGTCAAAAAAAATTATTGCTACGGCAAAACACAACTAAGTTATAGTTCTTGGTTGTCATATAGACCAATCATACTTACCACTACTAGATAATTGTAGTTCCTTGTTCTTACTTTTTGGCTGCCTGGAACCTGTTACTAACATTTACCGAACATGATTGAACTACCACTCGTAATTTATATAGTTAGTTGTTACTAACCAGTTATTACCATACTATAGTGGAGATACTATACCAGTTACTAACCATTATTATATTATATTTATAATAATCATAGTTATTACCCAATACCCTCCAGTTGCTGAAACATGGCAATGGGATATATCCTCTGTAAACTTTGGAGATTTCTAGCTTGGAAAATCCTTGAACTATTTTGAGTGATTTTCACTTGCCACGTTTGCTTACTGGAGGATCTATCCAAACCAAGATTCCATGAATAACCCACTAATAATGCAATGATGTTTTCATAGGCCACTACTTCCATTGTGTGTCAATATTCATAGTATTATGGGTTTTGGAAATAGTATTATATTCCCATTTGCTACCACTATTTCCATTATAATGGTAATTGAACGGTTACCTATATATATATATATAGCCTACCTACTATAATGGAGATAGTATTATATTCCCACGGGTTACCATTATTTCCATGAGATTTCCATAATTGTAGGACATATTCATCATCATCCATTGTATTTTCACTACAATCATTAGGACCGGTGATTATATGGGGTAACAATACTATTTTATACCCAATTTATATACGCAACCAACTATATTGCCATTATAATTAAAATTGTGGTTCCCAATATAAATATTTCCATGGTATTTCCATGATTTTCACCATAATCATTTTGTAGTTTCTGACTAGATCTGTTCCGAATTATAGATTCTATCAAAATTAAATCTGTGAAGATCCAATAGCTACTTATAGCTTACCCTTATATTTCCTTGCTCAGAATATTACCATTTTTCCATAAAACATTTCCATGATATTAAGATCTCCATGGACTATCATTTCCAGATATCATTTCCATGGAAAAAACAACATGATATTAAGATCGGAAACAACATCCATGATACCCTCTGGTAATTTAACATAGCTATTGAAAATGGACATAGAAATAGTGGATTTACCCATTGAACATGGTGATTTTCCATAGCAAACTGTTAGTTTACCAGAGGGTATGTCCACGATGATCTCCAGCATATTCCAGAATCATCCTGCAGTTGCCAGGTCTTCGCTCTCCTGGACGCTGCCTCCACCCCCCTCTGCGCCGCCCACCTTGCGTGCGCCGGCGCCGGCGGGAGAAGACGGCACGGTGCCTGGGCAGAGGGCAGAGGTAGGGGATGGCCATATGGGCCATAGATCGCCATTTTTGATGGGAAGAAGATGGAGAATTTCATAGTCATGGGGATACCCCAATAGCTAGATGGTTTATTTCATGGACAATCCTACTAAAATTAGATGATTTGGGGTACCCCCATGGATATGAAACTTCCATATATGAAAACATGATGTTCTAATTCATTGGAAGCTGGACTTGTATCACATTTCATACAAAACCATGAACTTTCAAAGTGATTCTGAGAGATTTCTTTTTTGGGATATACTGTGGATGGACAAACCATTCTGCACCAGTTGGGAACTATGAAGGTAATTATGAAACACAGGAATATAATGGGATCTACCAACTGGTGCAGGCTTTCTTCCATCCACAGTATCAATCTGATTTTAGGGTTTCTGCCAGGACAAATGTGGGGGTGATTGGGGAGATTGAAGCAAGAAGTGAAACAACCTGTAACAACCCAAAACAATGTGGAGGTTTCCTGAAATGAGGGTACCCCCAAATCATCTGTAAAAGAAGGATTTTTCATCACACACCATCCATTTGGGGGTACCCCCATGACTATGGAAACCCCCATGTTGCCAACAATGTGTCTGGGGCTCTGGGGATGTCTATTTGTTGAGTCCCATTTTCCATTCTGCCCAGATGTTTTCATAAATTTTATCTTCAATGCAATTCTACGACATATTACAACTATATAATTCGATGATTTCCCATTTAAATGCCCATTTGTAGGATTTTCCCAGCCATTTGGATTAGGGTACAGCAACAAAGGTCAAGAAACACAACTTCAGTTCCAGTGTTGCAATGATCATCTTGCTCCCTTCACAGCACCCAGGATTGTTTGATCCTTGATTGAGCTCCTGGCCTGATCCGGGCGACTTGCCGAAATGTAAAAATAGGAAGTAGATGAAGTAGATGTTCGAAATGTCACCGCGGTCTGAATGATGAGACTAGCGACTAGTTGCAGGGCGAGTTGCTGCAGGATCTTTGCAATAGTTGGCAATCAATCCGCAATGCGGAGCGCATATCATTCAGGCCGGGCCAATTTGGCTGATGCTTTTGAAGCATCGCAGCTGTCACTGTCAGTAGGCAGCGCCAACTTTCAGTAGCAGCATCCATTGAGCAGAGAAGTGACCTGTGTCTCAGGGCATGAAAGAAGGCTTAGCTGCTAGGTGCTGTGGATCTTGTTGGAATTTGGAATCGGGTCAACATCCGCTTCCGGCTGATGTTTGGACCAGCTGTTGGAATGTGGCTGTCTGATAGAATGGGACCCAACCTTCATTATTGTTCAATACCTAGGCCTTGCAAAATACAGCCCAAAAAAGGTAGAATTACACAGATGATGGAGTAAAAAAAGCATATGTTTCAGTTTTTTTCAGTGTACAAACGGATGGTCTAGGTATTCCGATCATTCCAGAATTTTACCCTCCGGCAAAGTAACATAGCTATGGAAAAGGACCATTTACAATATTTTATAGTTGATTTACCCATTACAAAAGGTGATTTTCTATAGTTATGATAAATTACCAGAGGGTGCATGATCTCGATTTTTCCATGGGTGTCACACGTTCGATCCATCCCTGGGTCCCTTGCTGGGTCCCTGCCATCCCGTCGCGCGCAGCCCGGTCTCGTCTACTACCAGCATGAAAGTGGACAGACGCAGTTCGAACGTCCCAGCACCAGGCCATTTCCGGGGAACCACCTGGGGATGTGGAGGCCTCATTCTGAGTACCCTCTGGTAATAGCTGACATAGCTATTGAAAATGGCCATCTATAGTGGATTTACCCATTAAAAATAGTGATTTTCCATAGCTATGTTAGTTTACCAGAGGGTAAGTTTCAGGGTCAAACATGTTGGCATTGTTATTCTTTGAACATAAATCTTTGGAGAATGAATATTTTGACCTATCTGACTTATCTATTTTGATCTTTGCAGCATCCTGAAGATTTTGACCGTTGCGCATGAAAGAAGTGGACATTTGAAAGTTGGGCAGCAACTCTTCCCAAGTCCCAAACCGCTTGTTTCCAAACCTGATCTGATTACTGATTGATTATTTTTGAGGATTTTATCAGTTTCTGTTCGACATTTTTTCCATTCTCTATGTGTTTTTCTTTCAACAAAACAACCTGAAGCCTGAAGCGTCTTCAACATATTGACTCAACATCATATGTTTCCCTCTAAAAAACACTCATCCACCCTTTAATTTCATTTAGATTTTGTAAATGCCCTCAAAAAATTGCTTTGTTTTTTCAAATACTTTGGGTATGTCAAAATATGTGGCGCCCAAAAAATCCAATGTTTGGTCATGTTTTGTCCATATATCTTCGTTAAAAGCTACCATTTTGAGGGTAAACCCCATTTACGGACCAACCACGACAAACCAAAATAATTACAATATTATCATATTGTTGGTGACATATCCGGTTAAATTCCCATATTATTGGTCGATCAAAAATTCCTCTGTGATTGTTGGAGAATTCCCCAGTTGTGGACCAAGCCGTTGTTTCGTAGTTTCTATAGTGAATCGATATGTTGGATAGTCAAATGCCACACTTTTTTCCATTAAGCCATTTGTTTCTATATTAGATCCCCACATATTCCCATTAATCCTAGGTTGCTTTTAAAATCTTTTAAATCTCCCCAGTTCTTGTTACTTAAACATCAATCCTAACTTCTTGATGGCGAAGACATGCTTTAAAAAAAAAGTTGTTTGTATCATATATCTCTTGGTTTATCTTCTTCAACCAGCAATAAACGGGTATTCACCTCGCTTTTCTTACCATCTTGCTGGATAAAACCTTGGAAATCCGCTTAGCCACAAGGTGGTGCCCCATTCGTTTGATGGGTCGATGGGCAAAGCAACAAAGATCACCAGGGGTCGCCAGAGGTCACCAACCTTGTAACAGCTCCATCCCGATTTCCAGCAGCCCATCAAAAATTCCCTTCAAGTTATACTATATATATAATGTGTATATAATATATATATATATATAATGTATATATATATAATGTACGTAAAGTTCCCATGATTTTCTCATTTATCCATGTCGGTGAAATCCCCCACGCTTCGAGGTCCTCGAAGGATCCCTTGGCGGCGACACTGGAAGTGGAAAAGCGACGCCGTGTGGAGGTGGGAGTCGGATTTCTCTCCCTTGTGATTTCGTTGAAAAATTGGATACCCTCTGGTAAACTAACATAGCTATTGAAAATGGCCATAGAAATAGTGGATTTTCCCATTAATAGCATGGTGATTTTCCATAGCTATGTTAAATTACCAGAGGGTAGTCTTAGGATCAAACTTAACTATAAGTAGATGATCTTCAGATTTCTTAGATCTTAGATTATATATCTTAGTTTTATTTTCTAAAGGATTGATTTTTGAATTTGTCGAACTGAGTCAAACCCCAGCCGGATCTAAGGCCTAAGTTATAGCTGGGATGTGAATATTCCCCCAGTCATTGGTAATTTCATAACAGTAACTTGACCCATCCCCAGTCATGTTGATCTTTGGAGGTGGTTCCCCAGGTCGTGCTGCAGATATACCTCACTAGTCACGGCCCTGAAAAAACTGGGGCATCATTAGATCATTGGCAACATCAGTTGTTAAACATACAAGCAACAACAACAACAACCCTTCGGTTAAAAATAACGTGGCAATGGAACATTAAAAAAAAAATAAATAAATAAATCCACGTGGCCTAGCCATGGAAGTTCAGTTGGGAAAATCATCGAACTATTGCTGGGGGATGTTCGAGCAAGCCATGGAGCTGAATTTTTGAGGGTAATGGTGATGTGGGTGATATGATCGTGATATGTGGATATTTGGTGATATGTATCACTATCACCCACAAATCTTGGAAATAAGTGATAACTATCTTGATATATTTTTATATGTGGATATACTGGTGATGTGTTTGGATATATTGGGCAAATGGGAATTATAGTGGTATATAATGGCATATAGTGGGATGTAATGGTGAGATAATGAGATCTAATAGCAAGAATATCATGATTTTTGCATCATTTGGCTAAGGGTTCAACTATTTATTGTTTTTCAACCATAGGAATAGGATGGTTGGTTGAGGTGATGAGTCGATGAGCATGGAATTTCTGGATTAAAGCCACCAAGCAGATGACATGGGATGTTTGATAGGTTGTGATAGGTAAGTAAATTATATATATATATACCCTCTGGTTATTTAACGTAGCTATGGAAAATAACCATTTTTGATAGGTAAATCATCATAAATCCGCTAAACATTGACCATTTTCCATAGCTATGCGTTAAATAGCCAGAAGGTATGTATGTGTATATATATATATATATACACATTTAACATGATGAAATGATGAACAGACTACAAGATGCTTTACTTCGATAAAGATCATGGAGATCAGCCGCCAATGTGTTTCCGTCCTTCCGGAATTCCTCCCCTCACCTCTGTACCGCAACTGATGGCAGGAAGAAAAGAAAGAGGCCGGGGACTTGGGTGGCACCATCGCTACACGGATGTGACCGTGAGTCACAAGTGGTATCAAAGGGACATGGTCGCCAAACACTTGGTAAAAGTCGCCAAATTAGAGGCACATGGCACATACCCTCTGGCAATTTAACATAGCTATTGAAAATCACCATTGATAGTTAATTTTCCCATGAAAAATGGTGATTTTCCATAGTTATGTTAAATTACCAGAGGGTAGCACATGTTTATGGGTCAAAAAATCGGGTCGCGGCAGCTTTTAAAGCTGGCACATCCTCCATCTGTTTTTCATGGTGAGGCCTTCGAGGATCATCCCACTGAGTAGACTTAGTAAGTTGTTAGTAAGTTGTTAGTGGGTTATTCCCAACTCCATGTTATACCCTGGTTTGTAAGTTGTTAGACCCTGGTTGTTAAGTTCTTAGTAACCCTGGTTTGTAAGTCCCCATTCAGAGGGCTACCCTCTGGTAAACTAACATAACTATGGAAAATCACCATGCTATTAATGGGAAAACTCACTATTTCTATGGCCATTTTCAATAGCTTTTTGTATGTTTACCAGAGGGTATTCCATGTGAATCCATGGTATAAATGGCTGATTTCCCCAGTCAGCCAGGCCCAAAAGCTGCCCGAGCGCGCCGTGAAGAAGGGCGAAGCCAGGGTCTGGCACATCCTCAAGAAACACAGGCGATGTGTCCCCAAGTGGCAAAGCTTTAGAATGGGTTAAATGATGATATTTCGCCATAAATATCTGGGATTTGTTTAGGAAAGATATTATGGAAGGGAGAATGATTGTTGGTTTATGATAGCTCAGTTGGTGAACATACCTGCTATACGTATCCATAAGTAGGGTATATGGTCCTGGTAGATATATCGAACTAGTCAATTGGGCTCAAAAAACAACTTATTGCTTATAACTGGGGGGGCACCACCTTATATGGCTCAAACATGCTCAAACAACGGGGCATTGATCGACCCATGATTGACCGGTTTTGAGTATTTAAACATCCATTTTTTGGGGGGTATGCAGGGTTGAAGCATTACATATTGGTATTGACGCCCATGCGGCGATGGGATTGAATGGGCATTTCATCCGCGCCAGCTCATCAATTCCATCAGAAATTGGCATTTCACAGAAAAACAAATGGCATTGATTTGTAGCAAAGGCGGTAGAAAGGGTGCATTTCGGCCGTGATGGCCCTCCGCAGTTGTTATCTGCCAGGGACTTCTTTGGAAAACCAGCCAAGTCGTGGAGACAAAAAGAGATCACCTGGAGTAAGAAGGAGGTCCTGGGAATGGCTGTTGCTTGGGATTTGGTTATTTTGGTTGGGAGGTCGAGCATTTTTGGGCCTGGTGTACACACTTTTAAGTGTGGGCGGGAAGTTGCCACAACTTGGCTAGTTTTTGTTCTGTTTTTTTTTCAGCGTCTCCAAATAGATAATTTTGACTGGAGCATCCTGGAGCACAGGCTTTAGGCTGCAAGAAACATGGTATTTCATC